TCATTTCATGTCCTTATTAGTGATGCAGAACGGGGCGCCTGGCAAAGAACAGCTACTAGTCCCTCGGTTGGGACACAAGAACAAGAACTTGTAGACGTTGACGTGTACGTAAAAGAACCATGGCAGTAGGTGAAAACATGAGCTATGGTCGGTATATGAATAGTGGTCTATGTAATAATGGTCGTCCAATAATCAGTGGCACGTGGGATTGACATTCAATAATCGGGGTCCAATAATCGGTGGTCCATGGAACTGACGTCCAATAATCAGTGGTCTATGGAATGGTCGTCCAATAATCAGTAGTCTATGGAATGGTCGTCCAATAATCAGTGGTCAATGGAATGGGTGTTCGGTGATCTACAAAATAGCTTTCCAATTAACAGTGGTTCAGAGTATGGACTTAAATGACCAATTATCAATAGACAGATCGATGAAAAGCCAATGATCCATGCACTGGTCGTGTAGTGATCGATAAACAATGTTTGCCCGAATGGTGTATTAATAAACAATCGGGTTATACCACCTAGTCATCGAGCGTGAATAATAGTTCACACAGGGCTTGTTCTATGAACATTATCTAAGGACCATTGGGTTATATTCCAGTTAGAGAGAGAGAGAGAGAGAGAGAGAGAGACTGGGGGTTAATGTCCACTTGACACAAACTAGGTCATTTCGGGACTAACACATTGTTCAATTTTATTTCAATAATTCGTTTGCGCGTAGGGGTCTTTAGCAGTGAGGGGAACCCGGAGTACCCGGAGAAAACCCACGATGTTGGACGGTGGACAGGCGACCCTAACCCTTGTCACGTACAACCGTTATCGAAACCACGCCAGTTGACTCAATGACAGACCTTATGATACAGCGCGCACGTGCTAACCATTCGGCCATCCAGCTCCCCTATATTCCAGTTAATAACTGCAGTGGAATATATCTGGTAAAAAGAATACCCCCTTTCCCTAACACAAAACGTAAAATAAATAAACAGAGGAATTATCTGCTGTGAATCATCTCCAATATCCTCTTGGGGATATAACGAATGACCAAAAAAGTCATTGGTTTTCCTGGAATGAAATCCTACGAGAATCGGATCATTAAACCACAACTAGTATAAAGAAGATTGGATAAGAAGTGAGGATTGATTACATGACGTCATATATCAACATGTAATGATGAGAGGAAGGAGTCGGAGGAAAGTGGGTACTTCAGTTTACCTAGCTAAACGTCTATATCAATAAATCGACATTCCCTTGTTGTGGGTTGTTAGGGTTAATGTCGTGATGAACGTACCCAAGGATGATATCACCGTAACAAAATAAATCCCACTTTAATCAGTATTCAAGTAACATAAAACATAGTAAAAGAAATGGGGTTTAACGTCCTACCGTTCTGCTCCGACTGAGCTAATGAAGGCGGACATACACAATAGAGTGTGCTATGAGGAAAATTTTGCCGGACAGCGGCTCTAAGACCTACTCTTATATCAAATTCCAACTGCCTAGGGATATTTTACGTGCACGTCAATGTATACACGGGACCTCGGTTTTCCATCCCATCGGAGCGACTAGACAGCTGGCATTGTCAGACCCTCCACCCTGCGCTACTGACAAGGGGAAACCACGCCAGAAAATGGCGACGAACTTCTCGGCCAGCACCGAGAGCAAACTAGCGACCTCCACGCTAGCGAGCCAACACCTTACTCACACAGCCACCGTTGCTCCCCATAGTCAAAGAAATCAAATAGAAGCTTTAACGTTCTATTTTTCTGCATGGAAAAGTCCAGGAATTAGTGTTAAAGTCGTGAAAGACGGACCTAGGATGGTGATATCACCTAAACAAAATACAAATAAATCAGATGAAATAGACCTTAATCAGTAATCAAATATTCCAAAAATAATAAAATAAATATATTATGAATATAGATCGCTGCTACATACCAGGTCCCGAATTCACAAAGCATTCCCAGACTTAAGAATTTACTCACGTTCAATAAAACTTTGCATAGTTTCTTATTGATGTATAATTTGATAAATTAAAACAACACTAGTTTTATATAGGGCTATATTTTAATTAAAATAAGGCGAACAATTTGAGAAAATTCTAAATTTAAGTCTGAGAATGCTTTGGGAATGGAGGTATTGCGAAAGTCTTTTTATAACTTTGTAGAAGATGACTGCTTTCTACATGTGACGTCACATCACGGGGAGTCGATCATTGGCTCGGTGGCGCGTGCATTGTTTATACAATGGGCAGAATGGTGCCTTTTATTCATTTTATATACCCATTTACACTAAATAGGAAATATTTTTTTTACTTACATATACTTCAAACACCTTTATTTATTTTTCTATTACTTCAAAAAAATGTTCTAGAATTTAATTTGCAGAAGAAAAATAAATAAATATTGCGAGCTCATTAACCCGGACCGATATCATCCCTATTAGTGACTGGAGTGGCCTAGCGAATATTCACTACTGATCAGTGTGGTTTAAAACAGAGTTGGGTTCAAAGTCGGCTAAATCTATTTGTCAAGGCCAGCTCAATTTTCGTCAAGGTCGCTGGGATGTAAATAGGGTTAGGGCACGTGATTGTTAGCGAGATTGTAGGTTAGTGTTAGGGTAAGCATTAGGGCTAGGTCCAGGGTTAGGGTTGGGATTAGCGCTAGCCCTGTTTACATCTCGTGATTTTTGACCAAACTTGAAGTTGGCCTTGTCAAATAGATTAACCGTTCAAGTCATCGAATGATACCGATGTAGGGGGGACAACTATATTTTATAAACAGGGTGCAAACCACCACTAACTTCCACATTGACACCACTTTGCCTGGATTCATTCCAAAATGTTCGTTGGGTTAAACGAGAATTGTTATAATAATAATTTTCTAGTACGCTGAAGATTCAGTCAGTCCGACTACTCCGTGGCGCTTTACAAAGAAATATAACATACATAACAAGAACAACTAAAACAAAATTATAGACATAAAAAAAACTTGACGTCCACTTGACACAAACTAGGTCATTTTGGGACTAACATATGGTTTTTAATTTTATTTCAATAATTCGTTTGCGCGTGGGAGTCTTTAGCAGTGGGAGGAAACCGGAATACCAGGAGAAAACCCACGAGGTTGGACAGGCGACCCTACTCCTTGTCACGTACAACCGGGGATTCGAAACCACGCCAGTTGACTCAATGACAGGCCTTATGATACAGCGCGCACATGCTAACCATTCAGCCATCCCCACTCACCTCATATGTGTTAATAAATCAGTTAAATAAGCTGGCACAGAGGGGTCGTTGATATGGGTAAAAGGTAATTAACTTAAAACTGATCCTGTGTTTAATAGGTAGCCAGTGTAGATCTTTTAAAACGGGTGTCATATGTTCAGATAGTTTAGTCCTGGTCACAACTCTGTCAGCTTTATTCTGTTTTTTTTTGTAGTTGATCAAGTAGGTAGTTTGGCAGAGAGTAAACGAGTTACAGTAATCAAGAGACGACATAACAAAAGCATACTGATTTAAATCAGTAAGTCTTGCCCCTGCTGCAAAGTTTGTATGTGGTTGACCACTGAAATTCTAAGATACACAAACTTTGAAGTAGCATACTAGGACCTAGTAGGTATACTGGTTAATATTGTATGGTCCGACATCACCATGTGAGGCAGTACGACATATCAATCATATTTTCTATTGTGTTTATTTTACCATAAATTTCAACTTTAATGTTAATTCTTGACCGACTCAACGTTTTCCACATTTTCGTTTGGTTGAACGCGTTCTATAACAGGTATACCTAACGTCATCCCCAAAAGCATGCATCAGGTTCACGATGGAAGCCTTGAGGTACACAAACTTGAAGTAGTGATGTAGCTATCCGCTGTACATGTCGACGTAACCAGCATTTTAACTTGGTTGTCCTTCCGCTTCAAAATCATGAATAAAAGCCAAAACTTTCCAGAAAATGTAAATTCAAATAGCAAATATCGCTATAGGAAATGGAATAGTGCGAGCTTGTGCATGAATATTGATCATGCAAGTGAATGTCATAAGTACCTGAAGCATGCAGCGGCCGCGAGTTTTACAGCATTTAGCCCTATATTGCAGATGTTGAATGCCAAATTAGATGAACCGATCAACAGACAACGATGTAACAGACACACGCTCGCATTGTTCCCTTTTCTATAGCGATGTTTGCAATTCGAATCTTAATTTAAATTTTTCTAATAATTTTACGCCGGATCAATGCGACATATATGTGTGGCATTGAGCCACCTAAAGTCGGCGTTAAATTATTAGAAAAATGGTTTAGTTGGGGGGGGGGGGTAACTAACCCAGGTGGCCGGTTTTACTGGATTATTCCGATTCTAAGATCTGGTAATGCATGCTGTCCTTAATAAAAAAAAAAAAAAACCTTGCTCCAAAAAAAACATCTTATCTGCTCCAAGCCCTGCCTTCAACTTTATTGTTTTCAACAAAAAGTCTAAAGTCATAAGCTTTTTTCTCTCTTTTTTTTTTTGAGACAACATTTGACGGAATATTAAGAAAATTAGTATATGGAGTGTGTGAAGACAAGACCTGAATGGGTTTAATGAAAGCAAACGGAGAAAATGATATAGGACTGTGGTCTGATCCCACGCGATTGATAACAGTTGCTTCCCCTAAATCGTCTGAATAATCGGGTCAACCCGCGTTTGGTTGAACAAAACATTACGATTGGATCACTTGCCCCGTACTTTCTCAAAATAATCAATGTTATACGCCGGATGTATAGCCCATCACAGTTTCTCCAGTCGCATTCAAAATAGTCCTATTTTGTATTATAAACGACATGCTGAATCTTTCATAATGTCCTTCGATAGTACCGTATTCGTTATTTTAATGCAAAATATATTTCTGAATACTTATGCAATGGGTTGTTAAATAGTTTATGTCGCTCAACATGCTTTGTTTTGTGGAAACTGAAAGTAGTATTCTGCTTTTTTAAACATGGCGACTCGGTCAAAAGCATCAAAATGCCGGTCGAAATATTCCAATGTCTGTTTCTGCTGCCTAAGTATGGCCAGCAGAACCCTCAAAATAGACTCAAGGACGTTCATCAAAGACCGAACAGTTAAAATAATTGAAAAGTTTCTGTCTTATGAGCAGTCAAAAGTATATAGTTCGGGAGTTGACGGTGTTGATAAGCTGGAAAATTTGAACAAACATAAACAAGGATCGGACAAAGTTGGACTGTGTAAAACGTGTTACCGATGGCTCATTAAAGCGGATAATTTCATCACCGATTTTTGTGCTGGCGTATCATATTATTTAGCAAATGAATTTGAAGTACTCATTGAAGGCACACAGAAGAAACTAATTAACACCGGAATTAGAGTATTTGATGAAAAAAATCAAATTAAAGGTACGAATTAATTGTTACAGATAAGATGTTTTATTAAACGCATATGTTTATTAAAATATATATTATTGAATCAAGCTGTCTGTCTACAGCTAGCTTCACCTGAGAACAGACACTTAGAGAGAGGGGGGGGGGGGGTAATTAACCTCCACTCGACACAAACTAGGTCATTTTGGAACTAACACGGTAACAATGGTTAAATTTTATTTCAATAATTCACTTGTGCATAGGGGTCTTCAGGCTTCAGCAGGTGGAGGAAACCGGAAGACCCAGAGAAAACCCACGAGGTTGGACGGGCGACCCCACTCCTTGTCACTCCTTTACTCAATGACAGACCTTATGATACAGAGCATACACGCTAACCATTTGGCCGTCCAACCCCCCAGTTAGATAGAGAGATTAGACATGATACGTTACATGAAGATAAATTTAATGTAGCTAAGTCTCTAACTCAATCTCATCCAAAACCTTCAACAATGAAAACATGAATTATTTGTCAATTGTTATCAACATTGGTGTTGTGATCTTATCGGAAAAAGGTGGGCTTCTGATAGCCAATATTTAACCCAAAATAAACATTTTACGATTGGTACACGAATTGTGTACCATAATGCATTTCAGCGCAATTTGTAACATGCGACTCGAAGAACGAGGCTAGACATATTCCACAAGTCATGTCAAACGGTGACCCCATATTCTTATCTGGAGAGAATGCGCAATAAATACTATCGGTGTAGACTGGAATAACCAGACGTTAGAGATTGCCATTGGATTGAGACTTCTGGTGTATTTCGCCGAACATAACTGCTTTGAAATTAGAGTAAAAACGGAAACGATTGAATGTAAATCAGTTTATTTACATTCATATTACATTATTATATACGTTGCGACCCATTTGTGTCAATTTGTAGGTCCCAAATATTAGCGATTTAGCTCCTTTAAGTACTAGTAGTCCCCAGTGTCCTTGCAAAATGTCTCCTTAGCTATATATAGTATAGCAAAATGTATGACTTACCTACACCCTCTTCATTAGTCCAGTGGGTGCAACAAAGCCTACATAATTTCATGTATGTTAAGGTACATTGACAATATAATAAAATTGTTTTAATTATGGTAATCTACGTAACGTTTGTCTCAAACGTTTGTCGATGTGCATGTACTACATGCATGTAATTGTAATGTATTTTAATTTACAATAAATGAATAATACTAACATAACAATCAATACGACAATAGCTGATAAAAACCAATAATACTAACATAACAATCAATACTACAATAGCTGATAAAAACCAATGTATGAATTTTCTAATTGGGGCATTCCACGTCAAGTGTACACACTTTCTGACCGAAAAATGACAAGACATCTCAGATTTCGTTCATTTGATGTCTAATGGTGGGGTGGGATGAAAAAAGTGTAAAAACAAAATTTCAGGCGAATCGACCCCAAATTGACGTTTTTTGGGCCGACCCAATTTTGGGCAAATCTGGTGGGTCAAAAATCTTCCAACAGCTATAATTTTCCTCCTAACCGTCTGATTTTCATAAAGTTGGTACCAAAATTTTCAGATAATGTTTTCAATTTTCTTTTTATTTCTTTGACCTTGACCCTGTCCGGGCAGAAAATCCGATGACCCCATTTTTTTCTCAAAATCATGTTCTATATATCATCCACCCGTGTGCCAAAAATGAAAATGGGATCTCTATGGGATCATGCCCAAAAATACTTCGAAAAATGCCACCTGGGTTGAGTCTGCATGGTTGAACATGGGGTCCAGTGTATGTTTGACTGGGGGGGATCACGTGGCTAAGTGGGTAAGACGCTAGCTCGCTAGCCTGGAGGTCGGGTGTTCGATCCCTGCATTGGCCGAGAAAGTTCATCCAGATTTTCCGGCGTGGTTCTCCCTTGTCAGTGATGCAGGACGGAGGGGCTGACAAGGAAAGCTGTCTAGTCATTCGGATGGGACGAAAAACCGAGGTCCCGTGTACACTTTGGCGTGCACGTAAAAGATCCCTTGGCAGTTGGAATTCGATATAAGAGTAGGCCGTAGTGCCGCTGTCCGGGCAAAATTTCCCTCATAGCACACTGTATGGCGTATGCCCGTCTTCATTAGCCCAGGTTAGGAGCAGAACAGTAGGACGTTAAACTCCATTTCATTTCATTTCATGTTTGACTGGTATCCAGCATTTTCTGAGAAACGAAAGTGAATATATTTTCTGTTACAGTAAACCTTGCAGAATTCAGTTCCTCGGTGGACTCTAGAGTTGAAACTGTTGTAACTTCCAGTTCGGCCCCGAGATTTGAAGGACCTTTGGGGGTATACGTCACGGTACGTTATGACGGACACTGGTGGCTATCCTACATAGAGGAAGCCTTTGACGACACACATGAAGTTAAAGTGAAATTCCTTCACCCGAGCGGACCCGCAAAAAGCTTTGTGTTTCCCCAGATGACTGAAAGGTGTCTCCTCGACATCAGCGATGTGCTCCTCCGAGTTGATCCCCGAACATCTACCGGCAGGACGTATGAACTGTCAAATAAAGAGATTGCCGATTCCAGCAAGGCTTTAGAAAAACATCAGTGAATTCAAAGTTCCCTGAATTGAAAATTTTGATTGAAATAATGAAATTTGAGGTCAGTTTATGAGTTAAAAGTCATAAATCAAGCTATCGTTATTATAATGGCACTGAATATGATAATATAATAGGAAAATTCTTATGCTTTAAAACATGTCTTCTCAAAGGATGATAGCCTACAGTCAGGGATGCATATTATACCCTGTGTGTTGCTTTGTTGCCTGAATGGCATTGTAATATTGAGCCCAAAAGTTGAAATTGCGAAACCCTATGACTTTGACCTTCATTTCCCCCCAGATCCCATTGAGATCCCATTGGAAAACATTATCTTATAACATCGTGTAATACGTCAAATGAAAGGTCTTTATTTCCTGATCATTTTGGTAGCAACTTTATGAAAATTAGACTGTTAGGAGGAAAATTATAGCTGTTGGAAGGTTTTTGACCCACCAGATTTGCCCCACCAGATTTGCCCAAAATTGAGTCAGCCCAAAAAACTGACCCATTAGGTTTTCAAACCTGAAACTTCACATAAATTGTTTTCTCGGTGGGGCTAACTTTTGGAGAAAAATTGAAAAGAATCTGTTACCATGGTGTCAATGAGGTGTGTACACTTGACATGGAATGCCCCAATTGTAAATTTATTTTCTGTTGCATTTGAAGGAATACTCTATATAAGCTCTTTGCCGATAGTCCCGAAATGGCCTAGTTTGTATCGAGTGGACTTTAAATCCCGTTTTTCTCTCTCTCTCTCTGTAGACATAGTTGGCGTTTATTTTTACGCTACTTTCACTTTTTAAAATACGTTATTTTCATATTACCTCCCCTGAACGCTCTTTCGCTTTGAAGATTCTCCAACGGACATGTCACCCATTACCATTGAGAAATTTGTGTAAAAATTCGCATTTTTCATGTGATTCAAAGAACGTTTCGGACGTTTGAACGTTTGATTTAGGTTTATTTTGATATGGGGCACAAACTTGAACAAATTCAGTTTTCATTCCCGATATCGGTTTTGCGAACTTTGGCGACCGCAACCAAGAAGCGCCAACGGAATCTCTTCGTTTACAAGGGTTTTTGTCCCACGCCAGGTGGCGCTAATTCTGATTGTTTATTTACAGCAGTGCTTGCACGTGGAGAGAGTAAAGTACGACTGACACTTGAAAACGAAGGCGGATTTGTTGTAGAAAATGATGGTAAACATCTAGTCTGTGAACCAATCGATTTAAAATTACAAAAGGGTCCCGACAACAAAGTTGACAGAAGTCGCAGCCCTGTTAGTAATACAAGCAGTAATGTCATTGATGGAGAGGAGTTGGAAGTTTATGACGACATTGCCGAGGAAAGTGACAATGATGATTGTCTGCGTGACACACCAGACAGGGAATTGTCTCCAGTTAGGAAAAGAGGGAGACCTAGAAAATCCAGCCCCGGGGTGAATGATAAACAACAGTTACGAGTTGTTCTAGAGAAACTGGATGTCAAGTCTGGTAAAGCTTATGAGGTGGATTCAGCAAGTGAAGGAAACTCAGAAAGGGAATCGGATGAAGATGGCAATGAACCACGCAGTAGTAAAAACCTTACACAGAGTATTGGAGGAAGAACTCGAACCAGGGTTATTCGTAAACCCACAAAATACACAACGCCTTTGGGAGAGAGTTTGGCCTCAGAAACACACAGATCAAGCAGTGCTAAATCAAGTACCAGACATACATCCAAAAATGCCCATTCGCCTTCAACACCTCACAGAGGACTGCAGTTACCCACAGTTACCCCCAAAACAGCATTCATGAATTCAATGGGATTGAAACCAGCTGGACAACAGTCTGGCACTCCCAAATCCCAGCTCATTCTTTTGACTTCTCCAGCAACACTGATAGAAAAAGATGGCCAAAAACAACTTATCTTACCCCCAGGATCTACACCTATTACCCAAGAAGTGGCTAATCAAATGACAAACCCTAAATCTGTAGCAAAACCGAAAAAAGTTAAAGGTCCTTATCCAACTATGCTGATTGGTCCAGGCTTTAAGGGGAAGCCGGTGATAGATAAAGAAAATTCTGACACAAGAGACATGATGATGGATGACGAAGATGCTGATCCAGATTGGGATCCACAAAATGATGATGATGATAATTTAGTTGCCACAGCTACGACCAAGAGAAAAGCTACAGATACACTGTTGAAATCCGCTTTGCAATCCAAGATAGCAAAACTGACCCCAGAAACAACACCAATAGGTGAGTAGCACTACTATGTAATGCAAAGGTTACGCTTACAGTGTACCTTACATGTAAATTTAGGCTACAAATAATTAATAATGGTTCATTGAAATTGTTGTCTACATATACAGTTTCTGCCTCGCAACCTCAAATGTGAGTCAAATAAATAATTATGTACTGTAACTGTTACCGTGTAATAGTATATCAGACACAAAAACAGTACATTAGATTTGAAAAACAAGAATTTAAATTATATTCAAAGAATTGTTATAATGGTAAGGAATCGTAAAGAAATGATTTTAATTCAGGATCTTTTTTTAAAAAAAAAAGAAAAGAAATGTAACAATCTACACCTAATTGGAATTCTTAACTGACTGTAATTGGAAATTAATTAGTGTTAGTTAAAATTAATTAGTGTCAGTTAGTACTCACTCAATCAAGCAATCAGATTTAAAAGACAATGAGATACTCCTATTTCCCATTGAGTTAAAACAGTAATATTAACTTCCAAGTTGAGATGTGTGAAACAATAAAATTATAATAACTTGCAAGTCTTCCATCATGTCCCAAAAATATCTTGCGATTTGTTTTACCAATATGTTGAATAATTATTGGCCATTACAACTGTAGTATAATTTTTTTTAAAAATATACATGATGTACATGTGATGAACCGAGAATTAAGCGACTGAAATTCCTATAAACCTCGGTCATCATTACTAAGTCAGTACGATAAACAGCATAGTCTCGATTATCCATTTAATCGTTTAATAGAGAAGGAAAGTTATGCAGTAAATCGGCTTACAATCCACTAAAGATCGCAGGCTAGCGCTGCCATCTAGAGTTGATTGTGGCCTGGATAGGTTAATTAATGTCTAATTAATAATTTAGATAACATTTCAGGCCTAAAGAAAGACCTGAAATAGGCAGATTTAGCTCTTGCATAATGCATGTTTAATGCAGAAACACGGGATGTTAAACTACATCAAGCAGCTTGTTAATGGACTTTAGGGCCAATATAAGCTAATTATATTATTATTAATTATTATATACATGTTTTATTATTATATTATTTCATTTTGTTTGTATTTTTTAGGAAAGAGATTTTCATCCTCTGGTAAAAGGTTTGATCTTACGAAGAATAGGGTTGGAGCAGGTAGGATGAGTTTTGTTGTTTTTTTTCTCAGAAATAAAAAATGTGAGTCGAAGGTTAATGCATACATAGAGTTGTGATGATTATCAGTTTTATCGGTCAGTCCGAGGTCAAGAAGCTGGTCTCCAACTCAGTTCCTTTGAAAATCTATCACAAATACATATTGCTTGATATTTGAGTACAAGGCTTCTAACTTAGAGCAGGGCTCTTGTTTCTGTCACTAATATTTGCAAATCTTGACTGACTGGCAATGGAATTGACCTACTGGAGAACTTAGCTTACATGTCAGTCAATTCATACTGTGCTGTGAAATTGATATTTCAGATTATGCAGCTTAAACAGGCATTATGTATAAGCCAAACCTGTCTATTTCAGGTCTTTCTTTCGGCTGTAAGTGATATATAAATTATCATTTAGACATTAATTATCATGACAAAACCTTAATCAGTTCTCGATGCCATCAGATGCCTCCGATTTTAAGTAGATTAGTAGGATTCGGCTATTTAATTATTTAATTTAAAAATGGAAAAGCAAGGCTAAGACTCCAATGAGTTATGACCAGTACGATGGTTACAATCAATGCACATATCTCAAAACTACAACCATTGATAACATCACTCAAAATCAAGTAATTTGAATGAAATTTTCAATAGTCATTTTGCATTATATATTTTTTAATGACCAGCTCTTTATCAAAGGCGGGGATCACTTGGCTAAGTGGGTAAGACGCTGGCTCGCTAGCCTGGAGGTCGGGTGTTCGATCCCTGCATTGGCCAAGAAAGTTCATCCAGATATTCCGGCGTGGTTCCCCCTTGTCAGTGATGCAGGACGGAGGGCCTGACAAGGACAGCTGTTTAGTCCTTCGGATGATTTGAAAAACCGAGGTCCCGTGTACACATTGGAATGCAGGTAAAAGATCCCTTGGCAGTTGGAATTCGATATAAGTGTAGGCGATAGTGCCGCTGCCCGGGCCAAATTTCCCTCATAGCCCACTGTATGGCGTATGCCCGTCTTCATTAGCCCAGCATAGGAGTAGGACGTTAAACGCCATTTCATTTCATTTCTTTATCAAAGGTATGCTAGACAAGTTTCTTTGCAATGGTCGTCAGTTTTTTTGACTGGCAAACTATCTTCCTTTTTCTTTTAACAACTAAAATTGTTTTTATTTGTTCTTAGTTTTGAATCAGTTGCCCAAGACTCCTCTCGTCACTATCAAACCAAATACCAAAAATAAACAATTATGGGATGATCATGACTATCTGCGTCAGCGAGAGACAATGAAGCCTGAGACACAGACTAGATCTCAAACTAGAAAATTGTCAGGTTTAAGTGCCAAAATAGAGTCCTTAAAGAATGCTAATGAGGAATCCAATGAGGTAGTGCAAGCACATGAACCAGAAAATGAACAGATGGATGATGTAGATGAAGGTTTGAATTTCCAGAAAACCTTCATGGTAAGTATTTTATTGAATAGCTTTAGACATCTTTTAGCACTGGGGGTGGGGCTTGGATTGCTGAATGGCTAGCGTGTGCGTGTTGTATCATAAGGTCTGTCATTGAGTCAACTGCAGTGGTTTCGATTCCACGGTTGTATGTTGTAAGGAGTTGGGTCGCCTGCCAACCTTTTGGGTTTTCTCCACGTCCTCCGGTTTCCTCCCACTGCTAAAGACCCCTACGTGCATGCAAATTATTGAAATAAAATTGAACCATATGTTAGTCCTGAAATGACCTAGTTTTTGGGAGATGGTTGGGTGGTCTAATGTGCAGTTTAGTTTATAAGGTCATTAAGTAAACCTAGGTCCCATGTACAAATTGTTGTGTACGTAAAAGATCCATTGGCAGTTGGAATTCGATATAACAGCAAGCCATAGTGCCGTTGCCTGGGAAAAAATTTCCCCCTTGCACACTGCATGGTCGTGTAATCTAATGTGAAGCTTAGATCATAACGTCTGTCATTGAGTAAACCAGGGTTCCGTGTACACATTGGCGTGCATGTAAAAGATCCATTGGCAGTTGGAATTGGATATAAGAGTAGGCCATAGTGTCACTGTCTTGGAAAAATTTCCCTCATAGCACACTGCATTGTGTATGCCCGTCTTCATTAGCCCAGTCGGAGCAGAACAGTAGGACGTTAATCCCCATATCATTTCATCTCTGTCATTGAGTAGTGTTGCATGGCTACGATCCCAAGCTTATGCATGGCACAGAGTAGGGTCATCTGTTGAACTTTGTATAGGTTTTCTCCGAATAAGTGAGGATATTGTCAGGCTTTGCCTTTTGATATTGTTTCTGCTCGTCAGTCAGTGACGCAGGGTGGAGGAAGGGTTTAGAGTCGTTCTTTAACGTGCACACCAACGTGTACCTGGAACCTCAGTTTTTTGTATCATCTAAACCACAAGACATTGTACATGTACTTCTTTCACCGTTGACAAGGGGTAACTTTGAAGGACAATGCCGGGATCGAACCCGGGACCTCTGGGTTAGTGAACACAGCGTCTTACACACATGTGCCATAGTGGTTACGTACAGGGTGAGAAGTGTTTGATCAACTTATATTTTATATTTTGCAGAGACAATTAACAATACCAACAGTTTATAATATCAATCAAGTAAATACAGAATATCTTCAGATGAAACAGAAAGAAGCACCTGTCAGTAAGTCTTCAGACATTTTGCAAATTTTCGTCCTCTAATAAGGACAGTAGACTGTTTGAGTTTGGGGGAGGGCTTCGTGATCAGATGCTGGTTTCTGGAATGGGGTCGCAACAAACAAAAGGTGGAGAACCCCTGATATAGCTGAATGTAATCACTGTACCAGTGACCTTGTTATTATGTCAAAAGGGCCATCTGTATGATGATAAATATATACATAAAATCTAGATCCATTTTGCTCAAAATTAAAAGATTTATCATTTTTATATTTTCAGAAAAACCCACTCCCCAGGAGGCTGTACCAGTCGATTTAGAAGAAGTTCCACGAATCTACCAGCAAATTATTTTCACAAGTAAAGGTCGACCGTTGAGAATACAGGTTCGAAAGAAGAAGGCTGAGATTGAGAACCAAAAGAAGAAAGATGAGGAGGAGGAGGAGGATGAAGATGATGATGATGATGAAGATGATGATGAGCTGGAGAAGACTCTAGACAATGTTGAAGGACTGGATAATATCAAATTACCCTACAACTTGATCCCAACAGATTCCGGAGATATTGAAATGTTTGATGATACAGTTGAGGAACAGCAGCCAGAGAATGAAGGAATGTTAGGTGGCCATTTTGTAGCGCTCAATGAAAATGGAGAAGAAATTAAATTCCAGGATGAAAATGGAGAACCGATTGAATTGTTTGACGAATTTGGTAATATGAAAGAGCTTTACACTGAGGATGGAAACGTTCTTCAGTTTGTTGATGAAGCTGGAGACTCTGTCCAAGCCATCGAGGAAGAACCTGGTCCAGATTATAGTAACTTTGATCCAAACTTGAAAGTAGAAAGCTTTGATGACGTCAATGCATTTTTTGGCGATTATGAGAGTTATGATGCAACTGTTCTCGATATTGAAGAAGAGGAATATGTTGATGTGCCCATCGAAGATGTGGGTCTGTCCGTAACATCTAAAAAACAGACACTTAGCAATATCAGTTCATCTGCGAATACCGTACCCTGCGAAATCTGCAGCAACTTTTTCTTGAATCATAAAAACTTACTGGCACATGTCCGCAGCAAGCATAAAAAGGACAAAAGTTTTGCGAGTTTTGAGAGTCGGATTCGAGAAAAGTTGAAAGTGAAGTGTGAAATTTGCGAAGATTCAATGGACACGGACATCAAGTTAATGGAGCACATGCAGCATGTCCATAAAGTGGAAGCAAAACATAAATGTAAAACTTGCGGAAAGGGATTCATGGTTAAGATCCGCCTCGATCAGCACGAAAAGAAAGTCCATCATGCTATAGACCAACTGTGTCACTTATGTCCAGCCGTCTTCAAGAATGCCCGGTCCTTGGAGCGACATATCGAGATGCATACAAGTGGACAGTGGGATAAACTTGAAGAGAAAAAGATTTGTCCCCACTGTAGAAAAAAGTTTGATAAAAGCACGTCTCTCCAAGCTCATATCAAATCTCGTCACTCAGATCCAGGAAAATCAAACCAGGCACCAGTCTGTCGCTGTTGGACTTGTCAGGCGGAATTTGTTTCCGCTAAAGAGTTACGGAAACATATGATAGCAGAACACGTCCTGCATGGACACAAATATCACTGTACATTATGTAAGAAGGTTTTTGATTCGATGGATGCATTAACTAATCACAAGTCAGAAGTACATAGTGGTGGTATCTCCTTGCATTGTCCGTTCTGTGGTATTGGATATATGGCCAGACATACTCTCATTTCTCATATCTCTAATAATCATTTAAATCGTGAGACTCCATATAAATGTCCCTTCTGTCCTAGTAAATTCATCAGAGCTGTATTCCTTCAAAAACATATTGGTGTGGTCCACGACCTTGTAGCAGAAGTTGAGGTACGTAAAGGTTCCTGCGACGACCAAAACGAAGAGAAGAGCACGTCGAAGAAATGTATATTTGAGAACTGCGACAAAACTTTCATCCGTGAAAAGGATGTGGTGGAACATATTCTTGACTCCCACAAAGAAGAGTTTCCACATGAATGTGAAATTTGTGGACAGAGGTTTGCAAAAGACAAATATGTGACAAGTCATGCACATGCCGCTCACAAGACTAAGGCCTTTATTGGTGCTGAAGCACCAACTGACGTGAAAGAGCCTGTTACCAAAGTTACACCTATTTCAGTTACTAAACCTGGTCATGTAATAAAACCAAGAATTGTCACCCCGAAGGTGACCACGCCAAAGTTAAGTAAAGTAAATGTAGTACCTACAACGGTAAAATCAACTGAATCTGTCACCAATGTAGCAGTGGCTTCAATAGCTCCTCCCTCAGCAACAGCAAACATCGTAACACAAACCATTGAAACTCCATCAGCCAAACGCACAATTATTCTGGACACTAGTCAGTTCCAAACAACACCTAAAGTTATCGCTCGAACACAACCCCAAGTTATTCAGCAAGTGCAAGCATCACCCACCCTCATCACGTCCAAAACAATTCAAACAAGATCCCCTGCTAAATCATACCCCACTGCGGTCACACGCGGAACTGCCGCTACAGTTTTGGGTCCAGGGAAGACGACATTATATGGAAATAAAATAGTTACAGCCAAGAATCAACCACCTGAGACATATATCCAGCAAATAGAAATACCGTCAACAACCACCACAGAAGTACAGCCTCAGTATCAGATACAGACTGTACCTCAAACACAATATACAGACTATGTTGTCACAAGTCGGGCCCCGGATCAACCGCAACAAAATGTTGACGTGGAACAAATCGTTTATAATCTCAACGTTGAGACGAATCCTCGGGCTTGGCATTATAGTCGTATTGAAGATCATGCTGCTACCATGACAATCTCACAAGAGCAGACGTCTGTTATGGCTGGTGACGCCCAAAGCTCCATCAATGTGGTTAGTGCTGAAGATTTGTGGAGAATTATTAATGAGAACATTGACCAGTAAAAACATTTAAGACATGACATTCTTGTGTAAATGTTCATCATGGTTGGAAATAAGGCTCCTGTCATAGACATTGTCAAGCACAAATTCAGACTCTGTCGTCAAGACAATTGATCTGCTGTCAAATTTTGTCCAGTACTGATTTCACCTATCTTCTTTAACCCAGTAGGAGCAGAACAGTAGGACGTTAAACCCCATTTTTGATTTCATTTCAGGATTGATTTGTCTTTGATCTGTGTTATTATCATACTATGTCAGGCACTAAGTTCAAAATGTCAGGTACGAGTTTAAGTAGTGTTTGATATTTTGTTGGGTACAACTAAGACCATTGTTTCCAAGCTAGTGAGTTTGTGTTTAATTAAATTACAAAGACAAAGAGGACACATAAGGTGGATGCAGACCAGTGGTTATTGATGATAGATCTAAGTAATATTTCAATAATTTTATAATTCAATTTCATATATCATAAAAGATATTTAACATTCTCAAATTTCTTTGTCCCAAACTCAGAAAAATCAACTGTACAGGAATGTCGATTTGTCATAAGAGAGACTTTTTTTCATGTTCCTGGAAAGACCTAAAACAAAATCCATATTTTAACATTATCTCTTTTTTATCTCTCATATCTATACATAGTCGTCCATCTCATTATCACTTAAAAGCAGTGGAAAGAAATAGAATGCTTTGATATCAATTGAAAGAGGCGTTATCTGTTTAGGTTTAGAAGTCTGTAAAAAAAAAAACGAATGTTAAAATTTGGTGGTAAGCAAAATTTTAGGCATAATCACTCTGCTATTGCTGTCAATTTGTGATTCATACAAACTTGTTTGAGCTAAAGGAACACTAAATACGATAATATCTTACTCTGGGCAGGTCAGTGTTTGAATTTTTGGTAATTTATGTGAGTATTAAATTAATTATATTGGTGTTCTTAGTAAAGAGTGGTGATGAAAATAATTTGTATTAAAATATTATAATTGTACATCTCAGCTTAATGATATTATATGTACATATGTTAAAGATACATTATGTAAGATTTAGATAAAGTGCTAGCCATTCTTGCTTTAGTTCGAAAATAGATAATTTAAAATGAATAATTTGAAAATTTCATTCAAATTACTCTATTGCAAGCGAAGATGTTAGCCTTTGAGGGTTTGACAAGACGTGTGCAATAATTTCAACCACTGTACTGGCTGTTTGACGCTAGGTCTCACTCCTCCATTTTTTTAGCTTAAATCAAAATATGGCTGAACCTTTCTAATCTATCTAATATTGGAGAAATCTGATGCCATCGAGAGTTGATTATGGCCTGGATAAGTTAATTAATGTCTACCTAAAGAAAGACCTGCAATAGACAGATTTAGCTCTTGCATAATGTATAAGTTAATGTTTAATTAATTAGGATTTGTAAATTGTTCTTGTATGTTTTGACACTTCAATCATGATGGTAATTTATTCTATTTGTTTTATTGTTTAACTTGTAAGTAACCATCAGTTGAGATATATTATGTTCTGTTTGGACAGATTTTAAACTACTGTATAGTCTGACTGTGTCACCGTTACCTACATGTAGGTATCATTAAATCTTGTGTTTTTAGCATTAATTTCTTTCACATTTATTCAATATCAAATCTTTGTTTGGAAATTGGCAAAAGTCATCTAATATCACCCAAATCATCTGATTTGTACTTGTGTCTAGTTTAAATCTGATAATGACTGTCAAGTTTACAAGTATTTGATTTCCTGACCACTGGACAATCATTATTAGAATTGAACAGACAGGAACTTTTTGAGGAATTTACTTGGCAAACATCAAGAACGAACTTGAGACTTACTCAATGAGTAACCAAGGCTCCTTCATACGAAAGGAACAAAAACACTTTATTAGTTCATTTGGTGCATTAAACCTCATTTCATTCATTACGAAGGTCCTGTGTATGCCATTGGGAGCATGTTAAAGATCCCTCAAAATCAAAATAAGAGGAGTCTTAATGCTGCTTTTAGGACAACTTTCTGTCATAGTACCACCTTCTGCATTAGCACGGTCGATCCAGAAATGTGAGATATTAAACCAAATTTCATTATTCTGTGGTCGAAGCCTGTCCTTGAATTTAGTTATCTCTATATTAATTTCTAAATTCTATAAATAATTTTCGTATTTGTTAATGGATGTAATTAAACGAACTCGTAGTAACTGATAATCTTTAAGAGGCATTTAGTAACTGGATAGAGCAATCCTTATGGAAAGCAGCAATTTATTTATTTGGGTGATGGTTCAAAAAGTGTTCTTAAGCTAATACAGGGGGTGAGAGCATACCATACTCTTCGAAACGTCGCCCAAATTAACTAGTAGCTGTTTTCTATGCGTAAGTGTTATAATTGATATTAACTAGTGGAATAATACAGTGCATGTATTATAAAGAAAATTTCAAATGAAAACCTGAATTTTAAATTTGCGTAGTTAGATATCCTGACCAGTTGTTATATTTATATTTCATCATTATAATCAGACTTGTTGAATTAAAAATTTTCAATGATATTTTAATGGATTATTTTCCCCGTCAGTGGAGCAGTGTGGGAAGGGTCTGGTAGAAAAGCAGACGTCTATGCCAGTGGTTCTCAAGGGTGCACTTGAAACCCTACAAGTAATTGTAGGCGCACTATATACATATTTCTGATATATATGTTATATTGAAGTCAAATATTATACTAAAGAAATGGTGTGACTAAACATTTTTTAAATTACGTGTATGTAACACGTACATGACCTGTTAGGGCATATCCGTAATCATAATGAAATGGTAAAGCCTATGGGATTGTAATTATACATTTTTTTTTTTTTTTTAATATCTGGTCAGTGATTTCTCTGGAATGCCACAGGGCGCACCTACATGTAGACATGTTGACTTGTTGGTGTGTACATAAAGAAACAGGGTTGGTGTACATATAAAAGAACCTATGAGGCTTAACAGATGAAATTCAAAGAATATCAAGTATCAACCACCAATCAAAGCATGAATGCAACCATGATTTGTATCCCTCCCAAGAGAACAAGGCATGAATGCAACTAGGATTTGTATCCCTCCAAGGGGGGGGGGGATGCCTGAATGGTTAGCACATGCACGCTGTATCACAAAGTCTGTCATTGAGTCAACTGGCGTGGTTTCGATTCCCCGGTTGTACATGACAAGGACTAGGGTTGTCTGTCCAACCTCACAAGTTTTCTCTGGGTCCTCCAGTTTCCTCCCACTGCTAAAGACCCTGACACACAAGCGAATTATGGAAATAAAATTGAACCATATGTTAGTCCCGAAATGACCTAGTTTGTGTTGAGTGGGCGTTAAACCCCATTTCTCTCTCTCCCCGTATCCCTCCAAGCACAGCAAGGCATGCATGAATCCAATCAGTATTTGTATTCCCAAATCTGAGCTTGTATTACCCAATTGCTGATCAATGTGAGTGAGGCAAAGCTTAACATGACTCCAAATGGGTTAATATTAGAAGTCTTGCAAATAATTACAAACACAATCTATTCAGTAATTTCTATTTCTTATCCATTCTGGGTGCAACCTTTGACAATATGGTAAACCAAGTCACATTAGGACGCCTTAGTTGAATATCTTTGGTACCTCGCAAGAACTAGTGTAGATGCTACAATACAGAAAGCTATTGATCTGGGGATAGTAGTTTGGGTTCCTTCAGTGATATACTGGCTTTTAGTAATTAGGAGACATATAAACAGAAGGAATATTTATGAGAAACAGTCACTGGTTTTATTATATACACATGTAAGCAAACGTTTCAAGTTTGACAAGGAGTAGGGTTGCCTGTCCAACCTCGGGTTTTTTCCGAATCCTTCGGTTTCCTTCCACTGATAAAGACCCCTACACACCAGCAAATAATTGAAATAAGATTGAACCATGTGTTTGTCACAAAATGACCTTGTTTGTGTTGTGTGGATGTTGAACCCCATTTCTCTCTCTCTCTTCCAAGTGATAAGCCTTATAAACCACTGAACAACAATATAATTTGGTATTTTATACACATTTATATATACATGTAGAACTACATTTTTCATTATTTACAATTAAATTGACAAGAAGAATCTGTATTTGTACTATATCCATTATTTCATTGCTCAAAAGATCCCTTCTGACCTCAAACATATAAATACATACATGTATACACCAGGCCAACGAAAGAATTTGTTAATGTCGAAAAAAGACAAATTCTGGGGTCCCCCTCCCACACTATTGCAAGAATAATAAATAGATAGGGTAGCTAACATTAACCCTTCTTAGTCAGAGTAGGGGTTCTGATTGGGCTCGAATATCGAACATGCCAACGTAAAACAATTGAATAGATATTTATGGTACCCATGTATACTGGCTGCACTTCAAAGTTCTTGGGCCTGTGTATACAGTGTACATGTATATCTTTACATCCATAAATGCCTCCAAATTGAGAACACCACCATTATTAGACCTAAAGTCATCTTGTAATGAATTACCTCATTCAATGGATGCATTGGCCTATATTTGTTTACATAATTGAAACTTCTGTCTAAAGTTTCTCAAAGTCGCAACTAGGCAGGTAAATACCCACATGCAATTTCACACATACTTACATGTAAGAGATATATAATTATGTCTTTTACAGACAAAAGAATGTCTGTATTATTAAGTAGAGTAGAACCCCACAACATGTCTTAGTGAGCCCCTCAAGTGGTCATAAAGCCCCCACCTGGTGATAAGAAGCTTGTCAACCCTCTCATGACTTCAACCAACAAAAAAACATAAATTTACATGTTTCACAGAAAGACACAGAATAATAAATGAATTTTGTATAATGTTATTTAGTTAGGGGCCGGGCCCTTAAATGGAACGGCCACTGGGAATACCTTCCATATTTAAGAAATCAAAAGTCTTTTTATATCCTTGACAGAACATTTTCATACAATACACTGGACATAATGTTTATTACTGAGTGATGTTTCGACTGGGATTCTCTAGTCTTTATCAAGCTAGGGAGCCATGGTGGCTAAGTGAGTAAGATGCTGGCTCGCTACTCTAAAGGTCATAGTTCATTGGGATTTTCCAATGTGTTTTCCTCCTGTCACTGACACGCATGTAAAATATCCTTTCACAGTTTGAATTCGATATAAGAGTAGACTGTTAAGCCGCTGTCCGGGCAAAATTTCCCTCATAGCACACTGTATGGCATATGCCCTTCTTCATTGACCCAGTCAGAGCAGAACAGAAGGATTTTAAACCCCACTTCATTTCATTTCTTTATCAAGCAAGTCGAAATGTTGCTCAGTAAATAAAACAGTAATTGTGTCCATGTGTATTAACAAATGCCTTTGAAACCATCTTCCATTAAGAACTACTTTTACAACCAGAAAATTGTCTCCCTTTAACTTGTGTACTTCTGTTCAATTATTGATACATTATGATCTATTGACCCTGACCTCTTGCCTAATTCCCGATTTACTTGGTCTTTACATTAATGTTTAGTCGTTTGTTGACTTGATTGAGAGGCTGAGGAATTCTGGGAATTATTTTCCTGGTTGTTGGCTCCAGTTGATGGCGGCCTGAAAAAAGAAAATGTCATTTAATTTCCATTATAAAAAAATCCTAATTGCTTGTAATGTAAGCAGTCAGCAGACATAATATTTCCATTATGTAATTTAAAAGCAAAATATATCGAGTAAATTACACAGAATAAAACTTTTAGAAATCATGAAGTTATGTTTTGAGAGTGTTTCCTAGTTTGGTGTCCATGGACCTTTTAAAGGAGCTAAACCTCCAACTCAATATTTTCCATAATATTATAAAAATAAAAATACGAATTAGAATTCAATACAGTAGACTCAGCATATAACGGACGCGAATACAACGGAAAATTGGATATAACGGACACAACAGTTTGGCCCGATTTTTGTAATAGAAATTTCTTATTTTCAAAGTCTTTTATAGCGGACACTGTATAACGGACAATCGTTTATAACGGACGATTTTCATCGGCAAATCAATGTAAAAGTCCATTTTTATAACAGACTCTCGAATAAGCAGAACAAAATGATGATATTACTGATTTTATTATGGGTGACAGGAATACTTTTCCCAGAAAATATCCATACTGATTTTATGGGAAACATTTTTCCGTGAAAATTCAGCCCAGGCACAACAGTGATTCCACACACATTAAATCGCGAATAACAACAGAAATTTTGAGATTTCAATTTGTTCAAAAGTAAATTTTAGTCTTCTTCTTCCTCAAGTAAATTTCAAAAGTCTTCTCAATACGTTTTTTTTTAATGGACAATGTTTATAACGGACAATTTCTTCAGGTCCCAAGGTGACCGTTATATGCAAAGTCTACTGTATTAATATTAGTCCATTTCTATTAATATTGATGTTATCTCGCTGTAAAAATATGTGATCCTAATATCCAATATTTAAGAAACATTTTAAAATCAGTACTCTATGGTTTCAGACACCAAAACAATGCGGACACGATTAGTAACTGCTTATTAAGAAACAACAAATTAATTTTAAAAAACGTGTAGAATGGACTAAGAAGATGTAAACAACCGCCTTTCAATTTGCATTGTATTTCAAAGAACATAATAAATTAAAAATTACAATAAATTTTATAACAATTAAACATAAATCCCATTATATACACACACATTACAATAACCTGTGCATTTAGACCCATTTTCGTCTATTTAAAGGACAATATTGGTGTCAATCATTATGTGATAGAACTGATTAAATACATTCCAAATGTAATTTTAATACAGAGATCATTGCTACCATAGATGAGTCGTGAAGCTTTCAAGAAAGGGAAGTGACGGACGCAAAAGGAAAACACGAGTTATCCTTCTATATAACTGACTGAAGTGACGAGTGATAACAGATACATGGGCGAATTTCTGCTCACTAATAATTCCTTCGAAGACTAAAAATTGTTATGTGAGGCTGTGAGAGGATATCTGATAATTCAAAAAAGTAATTGAATGCCACTAGATATGGGAAAATGAGAAAAATAGAAATAGCCTATATATATTCCCTTGTTTTTATTCATTCTATACTTTATAAAACCAGTTCTATCACATAAGTGTTAATGACTGAAACCAATATTGTCCTTTAAGGTCCCAAAGAAAAGAGCCATATGTCCTTTAAATGTCAAGAGATACCAGTAGCCAGGCACAATTCAGTATGAAATTATTGGTATTCGGACAATGAATTTCTGTAGCTGATATCAGAGTCATATTATCAGAATGGCCCTTATTAGGGTTTATCAAAGTTTTATGTGAAAGGTAGTATCACACACCTTAAGTCCTAATGCAGATAAGGGGGACCTCAAGAGATTTGTAAAATGGGTCTGAAATTGGTAAAATATTTGGAACCAAAAAGATACAACCAATACGACTGATTGCTGGTATCTATCACCATGTGCTCATCTCAAAAACTGAAACACTTGTGGTTGAGATCAAAAACAATCTCTTGAGACCTCCAAAATATTGCTGCATGTGCTAGACTTTAAAAGCAGTGCCAGCTTTAGGCTGTAGCAACCATGCACTTACTTAGGGACCACAACTAACATGTAGGTGACCTGGCCCTAGTTCCCAGAGCATTTTCATACTTAAGTTAAGAATTTAAGCAAAATTGTTCGCCTAATTTTAACTAAAATATAACCCCTTATAAAACTTTTGTTGTTTCAATGTATCAAATACATCAATAAGAAACTATGTGCAAAGTTTTGTGTTTCTGGATCAAAGATATTTCTCATAAACATTGATTGAAAGTTGAATAAATTCTTAACTTAAGTCTGAGAATGCTTTGTGAACTCCGGGCCTGAAAATTAAACAGAAAATATCCCATCAACATCCTAACCAAACACTTTTTGTGGATGTTTGAAATCAACCATAATTAAATCATTAGAATATAGTGCTTTTGAAGTATGACCCTTGTCAGTGGTGTAGGACAATGTATAGTTGTTTGAATTGGACGAAAAACCGAGGACGCTTGAACACATTGATGTGTGCGTAAAAATATTAGTATTTCGTTATAAGAACAGGCTGTAGCACACATTAGCCAATTCAGTGCAAAACAGTAGAACATTAAACCCCATTTCGTTTGCTTTTTCAGTATTTATATGTCTGTAAAGTGTGGGCTATAAGTCTGTGAGGTGCGGTCTATTAGTCGTCAAAGTGTGATCTATTAGTAGTAGATTATAGTTGTAAAAGAACAGTTTGTTAAATTCTGATATACAAGATACAAGTTTACCTGAGATGTAGGAATAACAGTAGTATCTATATTACTAATATTATTACCCTCTTCCCTGCCAGCATAATAATACAAGCAAATTATAAACTAATCACATCCTCTTATCCATGATATATAAAGCTTACAACTCGCCGTACAGGTTTTGACATGCACAGGTCATGGGGTTTGGTAGCTCGCAGACCAGCCACAAAAAATGGGTGAAAATGTTGTATCACTCGGCAAACCTCGGCAGATTCCGTTACTCTACATCTAGCCTCGGCTGTATGACGGTAAGTGATATGTACCTATGCCTATACAATTGCGATGCCGATGTGGCACCGGTTAACTTATTAGGAAAACTTGCTGCTTTTAAAAGGAAGTTATCAAAATTGTTTGAAGAAAATCAGATAAACTTGAAAGAAAATCAGATAAACTTGAAAGAAAAACAGCTTCAGACTTTGAAAAAACATTCTTCAAAGGTGTCGTCATGGGCAACGTCATTGGTAAATCCGGGAACTTGAAATCCAGGAATTTCTACAGTGCCGCACACACACAAGTGACGCATAGGTCTCACGTATGGGTTTATCAAATTTCCCACGTAAACTGCCCGTAGTAGCACGTACGGTGGCTCGTAAGCTTGGCATTAGATACAAGTTAACCCAAGACATAGGAATTATGTAGTATTTATATTACTGGCATTAATACCTTCATCCATGCTAGCATAATGATACACAAGAAGGCCATTAATCAAATCGTTTGGCTGTTCATCAATGCACTACTCATGCATTATCGTACATTAAAAAAAAAAATGATCACATAACTAACAACACATAGATCATATACAAACAAGATGATCACAAACCTAACCATAGATCATATACAAACAAGATGATCACAAAATAAAACTAACCTGGAGGGATTTAACTTCGGTTTCGGAATTTTTGAAAGTATTCCTGCTATCTCCTTTTTTTCATCGTAAGTTTTCCACATTTCATACAGAGCTAATATTTGTCTGGAAATTTCTAATATCTAAAAGAAAGTAAACCCTTTTTATGAATTATTCTCAATCTCTTATGAATTTCAAATTTATTCATTAGACAATTATTATGGGAACCAATCACTGGTTTTATAACCATAAGAGAGAGAGAGAGAGAGAGAGAGAGAGAGAGATGGGGTTTAACGTCCACTCGTCCACTCGACACAAATTAGGTCATTTCGGGACTAACACATGGTTCAATTTTATGTCAATAATTTGCTTGCGTGTAGGGGTCTTTAGCAATGGGAGTAAACCGGAGGACCCAGAGAAAACTCACAAGGTTGGACAAGTGACCCAACTCCTTGTTAAACTCGAAAGTTTCTGCTTACATGTTTATATGTCTCCCGATTACTAAATGTCAATTAGAGAAATCATTCAGTAGAGGCCAAGAGACATACCTTTTTATACAATTATACATCACAATTCTGTGCTGTGGGATTTGAATGACTGGTTGTGATAGATAATATATATTTTTATCGGTTTTGTAAACAGCAGTAGTAAAGAGCAACAACAATACATTATAGATCAACATTAAATGAGTTCACAGGTCACAGTTCTGTGGACTACAATTACTGAGCAACATTAGTTTGATAAAGACTGGAGAAGCATAGAGGAAACAGTGCATTTTCAGTCTAAATACTACATGTATTTGCCATTAAAATGATTTTAGTTTAAATGAGGGTAGTCTCTATCATCCAGAAAAATATTCTACGAATACAACATGTATATGCCATTAAAATGATTTTAGTTTAAATGAGGGTAGTCTCTATCATCCAGAAAAATATTCTACGAATATAAGTCTTGATGTGTTGTCAACATTTGAGAATAATAGGTCATTGACTAGATTATCCAGTCTTTTACATTTTCATAAACAAAGTCTAAAGGAGGTAACTAGTCCTAAAACAAGATGTTGACATGTTTGAAATTAATTTAACCCCTTAACTGTGTAGTTTTTAAAACGTTAACTACCCCCTATTGCGTAATTAATTTGACGAAAAACGTCATTTTGGACCTTTTCATTCCTGAATACTAAATTTGGTAGTCTGAAACCAAATTAAAACTAACGGTAAATAGAGTTGTCTCCCTTCAATTAGATTTCCTCGACCAGGCGTAATATAACGTCTTACACAATGATGCGATCGTGTTCGAAGAATAGGTTGGGGAAAATACCTCCAGGACGTTATATTACGTCCTACACATGGTGAGTGGCAGTTGTCCAGGACGTTATATAACGCCCTACGCAGTTAACAGGTTAAGAATGTCATTTCAAAAAATCCTAATCTGTTGTCACGATTCATGTTTGTTTATATTAATGCAAGAATTATGGGGTTTATTGCAAGAAGGGGTGCAACTCTTATGTGATTGGCCAAAGACACTGGATAATCAACCACTTTAAAAACTTTACGCATGGGCAATGGACTTTTCGTTCTGGGTGACCAAGACTAAAATGAGGGTGGATAAGAAAGGGACACATTATCATTCAGTTAGCTAATGAACGATATAAATCTTTTGGTACCTGGTACATATAAATACTGAAGACCCAAGTTCTCTAAATTTATCTATTTTACGTTGAATTTTGTAGCTCAATTTCGAAAAAGCCTAAAATGATTTCTCCCCAGGCTGATAATTCTACATCCTTAAATATTAATGGTGTCCTACCTTATCCATATCAACTGATAATTCAGCAAACCACTGTTTAACATCTTTCTGTTTTATAACACATGCCATGTGTAAACACGCTGAAATATATATATAATATCCAAATGGGGTTAAACTTCTTACTTTTCTGTTACAAGGGCCATTTTTGCCTTGGTTTCTAAAAAAATATTTGCTTGTCTGATTTTCATTAATGAAATAATTTAAAGCAGCCAGGAATTTCTAAAAATAAGAAAGCCATGTAATTTTATTTTTGGATAATTCAAAAACAATGGCATATACAGTAAACCTTGCATAAGTCAGATTAGTATAAGTCAGATCTTCTCTCAACTCAGATAAAATAGTTTGGACCCTTTGATCCTGCACGTTTTTCTTATTAAATTTCTGCGAGTAAGTCAGATTTCCTAAGTCGGATCTTTTCTCAACTCGGATCAAATTGTTTGGTCCATTTGATCTAATTCCAGCTTTTTTCCTTCGCCTAAGTCGGATCGACAGTATGTTCACAACATGCTGTTAAAAATATGTCCCCCTCCGCCAAATGGTCTGGCTGACGCTATTGAAATCCCCAAAAAGGGCAGCGCACAAATTTCCGCACCTCGGCCAAAAGACGAAACGAAATTGGAATTTTTGAAAAAAATTTGATTGTAATTGGGCTAGGAAAGACAATATTTGACTGAAGTTTCTCAGCTTTTCAACAATTCTAATTTTTCCCCAACACAGCTTACCTAAATTTTGTTTCATCTTATATGGCCGAGACATGTAAATCTGTATGCCACCCCACATCTATACCTCAATGGCGTCCGCCAAAGCCGTTAAGCAGAAGGGGACGCATTTTTAACAGCATGTTGTGTTGCATATAATGACTCTAGCGAGGTAAGCAAGATCTTATTTTCTCACTAAAATGTTCCTTTACATTGTTCAGGCGTTCACAGAGACTGTTAGCAGTAAAAAGTTGCCCAGTAAAATTGACTAGGAACCAATTTTATTTCGACAAGGGTTCAATAGAAACGGTTCCTCAATGTACAGGGTGATAATGAGACCTACGTTCGGTGCTGAACTAGGTCTTTGGCTAACTCGGATTTTCGCGTAACTCAGATAAAATTGGTCAGTCCATTTAGATCCGACTTATGCTAAGTTTACTGTATAAATAAACTATGGTAAACATGATTACTATGAGGCAGACTATGTTGCTAAAAAAAGAAGAGAGACAATAAATGAAGTTAAATATTTACCTATAGCTATTAAATATGGTGGATATAATAGTGGTACATCTGTTCTTAAACTATCATTTACAATACGCCTGAAAATATAACAACACAATTACACCAGGTGGAAATATAACAATACTATTACATCAGGTGGAAATATAATAACATTAGAGCTGCAACGATTCAGTTTGGTGCACCGATAACAGACACTAGCCGTCTCGGTTCGATCCACGATCTACAACGTTCAAATTTCGATTCGATTCAATTGCAAATTAAATTTCAAATAAAAACAATGTACACCTTACCATATGAAAAAAAATGAAAGACCTGTAGCAATTAAGTCCACTTAAAATTTTAAAAAAACTTTGTTTTTACGTAACTTTTAATTTACGTTATTTAACAAAACACGAATGTCACTCGAAAACATAACTAAAACAGAGTGACCTCCCTTTAAAACAATTTCCGTATGTTGACGAAAGTTAATTTATTTAAAATTGGTGACGTACCAAATGTTTATTGGATGTTAATTTATTTCAATAGCTTCGGTAATCGTTATATAAATTCTAAACGATCTCATTAGCTGATAATTCCGGTCATTATCTTCGAATATTTTCGTGTTTAGCGATTATTACCCGTAGTCAAGCAAACGCTGGAAGGTAAAATTATGGCAGACAACGTACTTTCTCGACCACCAGGTTATTTGAAATCTAAAGTTTGGGATCATTTTGGTGTAAGAAAAAACTCTAAAGATGTGGCAACTTGTAGAGTATGCTACACTGACATATCCCATAAAACAGGAAACACAACAAACCTGTCAAACCATCTAAAAAGAAAACACAGTCTCGATGTCAGTGTGAGTGGGCAGTCTAACTCTAAAACTAAAAACGAAATCAAACTTAGTCTTGTGTTTTTATTGTTTTTAAAGCATTATATACAGGAAAAATTACTGGTTATTGTAGCTGATAATCGAATCGAAAATAATCGAATCGAATGGTTAAAATCGAACCGAATCGAGGTAGTTGTGAATCGTTGCAGCCCTAAATAACACTATTACATCAGGTGGGAATATCAAAACACTGTTACATCAGGTGGAAAATATAATAAAACCCTTACACCAAGTAGAAAATATAAGAACACTATTCCACTCAGTGGAAAATATAAGAATACTATTACACCAGATGGAAAACATGTCCCTTGACTCCATGGCAGTCCATATGATGCAACCATTCTGCCATCCAACCCCGCCACAAAATGACAGAGAGATTTATTTATTCCTAACAAAGATTTAATTTGTGCCAGACATTGTCATTGACAGGTGGCTGATTTCCAGTCCTCAAAATCAGTCATGATAAATTTATTGGTTGAAAACTAAATCCAGGTGGAAGGACAGGAGTAAAATCTTAATGCCGACATCCCTTATCCCTTCAGACAGGAAAATGAAAATTAACATATTTGACAGAAACATACCATGATAAAGGTAGAAGATCATTTTCAGGTTTTAAATCGTTACAGAACTGAGTTAATGGTCGATAGGGTTGGTACAAAATTAAACAACAATCCTGAAAATACAAATTACAACAACATTATATTACAGTTACAATAAATCTCATATTAATAACTGAAAATACAAAATTCAACAACATTATATTAGAGTCACCATAAATGTCATATTAATGACTGAAAATACAAATTACAACAACATTATATTACAGTTATAATAAATATCATATGAATGACTGAAAATACAAAATACAACAAAATTATATTAGTCACCATAAATCTCATATTAATGACTGAAAATACAAATGACAACAACATTATACTACAGTTACAATAGATCTGATATTTATGACTGAACAACTAAGTCATTTTGGGACTTATCATTGCATTTCAATCATTTCCTTTAGAAAGCTTACAAGGTTGGGCAGGCGACTCGACTCTTGTTACACTCAAGCTTGGGATTGAAACCATTCCACTTGACACTATAATGACAGACCTTATGATCTAAAGTGCACTAAACCATCTCCCATTGGAAGGCACGAAATAACAAGCTCTTGAGTGTTCTCTTGGCTGCAAGTAAAAGATCCCCTAGCCCTGACAGTTGAAAATCAAATTAAACAGTAGGCTGTTACACCTCTGTCTGGGCAAAATTTCCCTCATAGCACAATGCATATCATATGCCTATCTTCAATAGCCCAGTTGGTGCAGAAAGTAGGATGTTAAAAACATTTCATTTCATGGCTTATTTGACTCAATTATGTAAATATAATGGCAAAAAAACCCACTAGTTTGGCACATTTGACTTTCCCCATCAAAAGTAGTTATATAGTCTTACCATCATTTCTAGAAGATAAAATTCACATTCTAAAACATTCTGTATTCTATACGGATAATCACCATTAAATGCATGCGGGAATTTATTTTTAACTGAAAAATATAAATAAAATATTATCAAACAAAAGATCAGTATTGTGTTCTAGAAACATGAACATTAGAGAGAGAGAGAGAGAGAGAGAGAGAAAGAGATACACACAGACAGACAGAGAGAGAGAGAGACTGAGAGATGGGGTTTAAGGTCCACTTGATACAAACTAGGTCATTTTGGGACTAATATATAGTTCAATTAAATTTCAATAATTCGCTTGCGCGTAGGGGTCTTTAGCAGTGGGAGGAAACCGGAGGACCTGGAGAAAACCCATGAGATTGGATACATGAACATTAGACATGTATAAAAAAAACTGTCATTTTTTAACAACTTTTCTTCCCATTATCACAAATTGAAATCTCTGGAATAAATGACAAAAATGGTGATTTTATAATACTGCTGTATCACCACTATACGCTGCCAAACATGCAATCAGCTTTAAGAAATCCCTTAGAACTATGAAATTTTACAGGTCATTACATTTATAACTAGCATACACTAACTAATTGACTGAATTTTATACAGCCCTTACATATATTATAAATTCGCTGCATTCTGTTTTAAAGTTCTCAGATTCTATCGGACCTTTAGTCCGACCCAGATCGCAATTGATAACATGGCCCTATTCAATGTACATGAAACAACTAGTCAAAATCATAGTAACAAAACAAAATGGGGGGAACTACATGGCAGTTCAAAAACATATACAATGACATTAAATTAACATAACAACATATTACAAAAATCAATTATTATACATATCAATTGGCATCTATTTCATAATTTGGTTTGATTTATATTAATATGCAAAATATATAAATTAGAATATTGAATAATTATTTTAATTAATTGTGATGATAGAAGGCGCAGTTCTCTTGCTGGACACTTCACAGGCATTGAAAATAAGCAGGATGAAAAAAAACGCCTAGAAAGTCATAAACTTTATTACAAATAAATTTCAACGGAAGAACCATCCACCGATGCATACTTTCACCAGGAATGACCCACGTTTCGCATTTCCTCTACACTACATTTAATAATATCGCAGTCCTCTACGCCATAGACAAGTTGTTTTGACGATGTGGTCTAAACAAACACGTGATTGTTTTACGCTCAGAGTATCATAGCAAGATGCACGTGTAAATACTACTCAGGTCGTCTCTCCACTGCGAAATCATTCTACCATGAAATGTAACGTGAGGCTCAGAAAGGGATAAATAATGAAAGAGCAGAAAGTGTGCTAATAACTACTACTTACTTATCATCCCACGATAAAGACTGTATTTTTGGGCATTGGTTGGACTTTTCTGTCCACATCTTATGCTATTGGTTATTTTGTATAACTGACTGGCAGAAGGTGAGCACCATGTCGGTAATACAGAACTATCTGAACATAATTCAATTTATTATTCCTATCAATCTAGATTCCACTTCAAATATTAGTTTGGACAAAGAGAGAGAGAGAAATGGAGTTTAACGTCCACTCGACACAAACAAGGTCATTTCGGAACTAACACATGGTTCAATTTTATTTCAATAATTCGCTTGTGCGTAGGGGTCTTTAGCAGTGGGATGAAACCGGAGGACCCAGAGAAAACAGCACAAGGTTGGACAGACAACCCTACTCCTTGTCACGTTCAAACCAGGGATTCGAAACCATGCCAGTTGACTCAATTACAGGCCTTATGATGCAGCGCCTACGTTCAAACCATTCGGCCATCCAACCCTGCTAGTCTGGACAAATAGTAGTTTTTGTTTATATTATAGTAACCGGCTATATTGATGATATAATAACTTACCCACTGTTTGACAAGTTGTTATCAATCTACTGTTTGATATTACACCAAATTCCTTAAAAAAAATTACAAAATCAAATCTTATTTTAAAATATTTTCACTAGGTGGATCTATCTCATTCTCTTGGCAAAAGGTCATATGTCCTGCATTTTTTCAGGATATTAGATGATAGTCCATAAAATATGGTACTTATTTTTAGCTTTACAGTAGGCATTACCTATATGTCTATGGTTCTTTCTTTGTCAAAAAAAAAAGATTTTTGTGAGAGAGAGAGAGAGAGAGAGCGAGATGGGTTTAACATCCACTCACACAAACTAGGTCATTTCAGGACTAACACTTGGTTTAATTCTATTTCTATAAATCGCTTGGATGTAAGCGTCTTTAGCAGTGGAAGGAAACCAGAGGACCTAGATAAAACCCACAAGGATGAACCCATCTCCTTGTCACGTACAAACAGGGGAAAATATTTTGTATAGAAACTTTAGCAAACATGAGTACCAATTAAAAAGAATAATAGTAAACTGAACCTACCTCAACTTTTGAAGCTAGAAAAATACACGTAGGGGCCATTAACCATGGATCTATACATTTTAATGAATTCCTAAAACAAAAAATACAATACATTTATAATCTCTGTGATTAACCCGTTAAGCGTGACGTTTTTAAAACGTTAACTACCCCCTATTGTGTAAATAATTTGACGAAGTGACGAAGAACTATTTACTATGTTCTAAGAATAGGTTGGGGAAAATACCTCCAAGGTGTTATATTACGCCCAACACACAGTGAGTGGCAGTTGTCCAGGACTTTATATAACGACCTATGCACTTAACGGGTTAAGGAGGATTTCACCAGGGCAGCAAAATTATTACTTGCATACATTTCATCAAATTCTAAACTGATTCCATCTAAATGAATAGTACCATAGGTGTTACATGTTACTTGGGATTTGTTTCGCAAAAAATAAGCAAGACCTAAAATGAAAGGAGATTTAACGTCCCTAAACCAAGTCCCTTTTAACTGTATAACTGCAATTTAAAATAGATTTCTTCAATACAAGCTTAAACCTTACATTACAGACCTACCTTGCATAGAACCGTTTAAAATAAATAGTTGCAGTTGCTATGACCTGTTGTCGAACTTTCAACTGTTCACCTAAAGCCTGGATAACTGAAATAAAAATACCATATAGATTATAAATTAATTCTAATAATAATTTGACCAAAAAAATCAATATGTACAAAAGTGTTCCATTATAATTCCCTACCTTCGAATCAAAAAAGTTCTATCTCCACTTGGGGGAAAAATTGAGATACAGATTGTAATTATTAGATTTAATATTATCTCCCCTAACCAAATTTTAGATCACACTTTTCGCTGAAAATTTACTGATTAGAAATTTGGAAAATTTAATGTAAATAACTTGACATAGGGCTTTAATTCATAATTACATTAATAGAAATGACACACAACCCCGGTAACCAGTATAAGTCAGATGAACTCCATAGGTGTGATCAAGAGGTTTATTAATAATCAGTCGTTTCAGAGACCTATTGAGTTCGTCTGACTTATACTGGTTACTGGGGTTGTATTTCAACTAACATTGTCTTCTGTATGAACCCCTTGTGTATCGCTGAGATCCCAGTACAGATGTCTTCCGATCATTAGTCTCCAGCTATCTCAGACCACACTTTACGAGAGTTGTTGTCGTCCTCTACTGCTATTAATTACATTAATTATTGAATAACTTCAAGCATTTGCATTGTATTAATTTAAAACAATGTATATGCTTGAAGTTATTAAAGACTAACTTTCAGGTTTTGCAACTGGTACTTTAAGATAGCTACATGTAGCAACACTCTTAGTCTACACAATTTAACAGTCAATTATTAATTGATTAATAAAGGGAGACTCACAGTTTGAGAAAAATATCATAACTTTCTGGTATTCATCTTCGGTTATAACTTTTAGGTCAGCTTGACGTTCTCGCATTAAATCTTGTTTATCCAGGACCCATTGTTGACTGAAATAGATACCATGTATATATATGAATATGGTTATATATAAGTTCCCACAAAGATATGAAGAACTTTGGATCTATTTCACATGGCCAACTACAGATTTCGTCACACATCATGAGATGTAAACAGGGCTAGCGCCAACCCTAACTCTAGCCCAAGACCTAAATCCAACCCACAATCCTATGTAACTACCACGTGCCCTAATCCTGTTTTTGACTCATGACCTTGGGGAAATCTGCACGTGGCCATGTGAAATAGATCTAATCTCGGTGATAGCTAAAATAATAATATAATAATGTGTTGCGACTATATATAGTAAGTGCAGTGGGAATGCACCACACATAATTTACACAAAAACAAATATACGAACAAGACACAACACGCAGAAATCACAAGCAAACGAACAATTCGCATTAAGTGAATGGATCTGGTGGCTAGCCGTTGGCGTCCACTGACCTGTACAGTCAGGAATATAACCCAGAGAAACCATTGTGTAATGCCAGCATGAGTCATGATCTGAGGTGTTCAAATGGAATAGTGTTTAATAATTGAAGCAGTAGCCTAAATTGCTGTATTCTTGAAACAATTTCATGGATGCTAAATTATTCAAAATTAAAGCCTAAACTTAAATAGAAAAATAATTCATCCTGCATAATAATAATTAAGGATTTCTCTATTGATAGCCATTTGGCGCCGAGACCAATTAATAATACAGATTTGCATCCAAAGTCCTGCATGTATATAAAACTGATATTTAATTGGTACACGTAGTCTGGGAGTGCACAGCCAAGGGCAGAAGATATTCCATACATTAACTTAATTCTAGGTCTTTGGTTACATTCAATCCATTGTCCATTCTCACCATAGATTTCTTACTACCGATACACAGTAACACAGATAGTTTTTCAATGCTAGCAGACTGTGCTGTAATTCTTGTAGCATTTTGAATAGTACTTGGTGTAATAATTTAGTATAAGGAGTAAAGGACCACAGTGTTTGATAACTGGTTTCAATAAACAAGAGCAACAAGATGTACAGGCCTACTTGTCAAATAGTTTGACTCAAATAAAGTCAGCAAACGAATTAGGTCTATGCACCCAATACTAATAGCTAGACCACTGGGAGTCAAAAATATACTGGTGGTTTGTCGATAATATGGGCTAGTCCTTAGAACTGGAGTTTTACTACACCAATAATTTATTCTGGCAATTTTTTATTACAGGATAGGAATAATAGAATGCATTAATTCCACAAAAATGTCCCAATCAGATCAGTAGGCCTTATATAGCCTATGGAACTCAACGATCAATTAAAAATAAAAATAAGCACACAAACAATAAACCTAATGTACTAATTTACTAGACTCTGAAGTTCTAATGTAGAGTAAAAATTAAATAATTTCCACGAAATTTCATTGTAAAAAACGGACTTACTAGTGAGAACTTTGCCAAAAATTACCAGCCATTTCACTTTGTTGATTCTTTACGCACACGGAATTCCCACTTAACCGGAAGTAAAAATAAAGTTATCGGAAGCTAAAAATAAGCTATTTTTAGTAACGCGGGATATGTCTAGTCGTTTAAAGGGACGATTAACCATTCAAAATATGATTGTAAAAGTAATTTATTATGACTCATCTCATAATAAGAGAACTTCAATAAAGTTTTATGTTCCCAAGAAAAATAATTCCCTTGGAAGACTAAGGGGAGATAATCCAAGTTTGTTTTCATGCTGGAATCACACCACTCCTTGTGTAAAAATTAAGAATTTCGAATGAGTTCCTCCATAGCCACAAATGAACTATACTACCATGATTCGTTGACAACTATGTCCTGTATCGTTACTTTATAAATGTATTAACAAAATGTGATAGTGTTTTTCATTATATCAGACATACTGAACAATCTCATCCAGTATTGAAACAATCCATCTAGAACTGTGTTTTGTAAAGTATCACCCCCAAAATGTTGGAGGGACACTGGTGACAATAAACTTCCAACTTTTACAGGGGTGTATAAAAAGGTTTAAAGTTATTCTTTATAGTCCCCAATCCCTAGCTATGAAACTAATTAAAAGTTTGAAGTTATATTTTGCTGGACTGGTATCAGATGAAAATCAAATGTCTTGTCTTATTTTAGTTGTGCTATTAAAACAGGTCTAAGTAAGGATCTTCCAGTAGGTTTTTCCCCTTATCTGTGCTGTAGAATGGAGTACATGGCAATGAAGTGTCGATTCGTTTGGACAATATATAAAACCCAGGTTGGTGGTCACATAAAAAGAACTTTTTAGTTGGAATTTAATTAGGGGCAAAAGCTGCTGTCCAGATAAAATTCCCTCATAGTACACTGCATGGCATACGCACATCTTCATTGGATGAGAGAAGTAGGATGTTTACTTAACACCAAGTATCTTGGGACTAACATGATACATCTTTACTTCCATAATTTACTTGTGTGCATAAGGGGATTTAGTATGAAAGAAAACCTGTGAAAAAAAACCCACGCGGTATCCCATTACTCCACTAACCCCTGGGTCCAAACGCGGAAAGACACAGTGAAATTATCCACCCTTGATACTTGTGCTATTTTTATCGTAAACTGTTTTTTGATTGGTTTGTAGGATCAACCTCCGATCAAGGGTGGATAATTTGAATTTGTGAACACCCTGTGAATGGACCCAGGGCTTATTGGAGAAGAAAGGAACATGCCACTGGGGATACAGAGGATGAAGACATTCACACTACATATCACTGACAGTTAACATAAAGGGACAGGCAGACAAAGGCTACTGACAAATCAAAATCAAGACACATTAGAAAGTTATTGTTTTTTTTTATATATAATTTGATTATATCAAAGACAAACAATTCGAAATAAAATTTTATTTCAAGATTCTACATTGTTAATTGGTATTCAATACGATACCAACTATAATAGCAACACTACCAGAAAGTATGGTAGATAGATTTACTGTACATGTATCAAAACCGAGTTCTTCTTTCACAGATATGAATTGTTTCAATCTTAAAAAAAAAACCAGGTGACAATTCTCTATGGAATAAAATTACTGTTTATTACTGAGCAACTCTTATGCTAGATGTCTCTACTCTTTATTAAACAATACTTGAATAATAAATGAAATGAAATGTGGTTTAACGTCCTACTGTTCCGCGCCCGAGATAATGAAGACTGGCATACACCATACATACAGTGTGCTACGAGAGTAATTCCACCCCGGACAGTGCAACCACAGCCTACTCTTATATCGAATTCCAACAGTCAAAGGTTCCTTAATGTGCACGGCAAATGACTATATCTTGTCCCCAGCCAGACCCTGCGCCCTGCATCACGCTGGAAAATCTAAATGAACTTTCTCGGCCAACACAGGGATTAAACACGGGACCTCCAGTTTAATGAGCCAATGTCCTACTAACTGAGCCACCATGGCTCCTGCTTGAAAAAGACTGGAGAAACTTAATCGAATTATTACTCAGTAATAAAAAGTAATTGTATTCCATAGAATTTTGTTAAGTTTATTAATAGATATGACCTTTTTTTTCACACCAGAAATGTTATACTTAACTTAAAGGCATGTATATAAGATGTAATCTTCTTAACAAGATAATCATTTTAAAAACAAGTATGGTTTATTTATAATCTGTGCCTTTATCTAAAAACAAAATCTGGTACCTGGTGACCCATAGTAACCAGTAACGAAAAGGTTTATATATTTATATCTTTACCATAATAACTGATATGGTAAGAAGTTGTTTTATATAATGAAGGATGATTTTCCAACATTTCAAATGCAATCTCTACTGTGTTGCCCTCATCACTTTACAAACAGTGAATGGCCCCACATCATTTTTCATTCATTGAGTCTAATATATTGAACACTTATTGTGCATTATCCATATATTTTGTCTCTAGCACTGTAAACACCATTCTGTCATTCAATATAAAATGTTTCTATTCTTTAAAAACAGTGAGATGACGAATGAATGAAGAATGAATGAAATCAACAACTTAACAAGATGATTGAAATCAATCTGAATCACTTGATGCTACTTCCTTCTTTTTCTTCTTTTTTTTCTTTTCAGGACTCTGAAATAAATATTCAAATTCAAATAAAACTATTGAAGATATTATAACGTACAATTTCTTTAATAGGACAGGGCTGTATTAAAATCTAAAAATAATTTTGGCAATGTAATGTATTAATCATCAAATTCCATCAAAGAATAATAATCCATGAAATACATATATACTACATGTTAGGTATTTAGCTGGATATTTTGATCGCCATCACAGTCGACTTTTATCACCAGGGGTTTCAGACTATGTAATATTCTAAGTCAAACAGCCTAATCCTTCTATGTAAATCATAGGAAAATTATCCAAAATGTTATCATAACTGATCACAAAGAACTAAAATTGAAATTTTAATCAAGGCATAATCTCTTAGTAGCAGGTATTGTATCAAAATCATTACCTCTCCATTTTCCTTGTGTTTTTTCTTTTTCTTTTTTTCTGAAACAGGCTCTTCTTCAGATTCATCTTCTTTTGTCTTCTTTTTCTTCTTCTTCTTTTCCTTTTTAGCAACAGGTTTGGCCTCTTCTGATGAACTATCGTTACTTGATGATTGATGCTTTCTCTATACAAATAAATTAATTTGATTAAATAATCATCTTATTTTGTTTGAATAAATCAAGTAGGGGCTTTACGGTCTTACTTTTTCCCTGTACTGACCAGGCTAATGAAATGGGCTTTAGCATCCTACTGTTCTGCTCCGACTGGGCTTATGAAGACGTGCTATGAGGAATATTTTGCCTGGACAGTGGCGCTACAGCCTACTCTTATATCGAATTCCAACTGTCAGGGGATCTTTTACTTGCCACCAATCTGTCTGATCCAAACGACTGACAGGTGCCCTTGTCAGGCCCTCTTTCCTGCCAACTGACAAGGGGAAACCACACTGGACAATCCTTATGAACTTTCTCAGCAAATACCGGGAGCGAACCCGCAACCTCCAGACTACCAGGCTAATGAAGACAGGCATACTCCCATGCAGTGTGTAATTGATGAAACTTTTTCTACATTTCATCAAATTACAACTGTCAACTTTTACATGCACATCACCAGAAAACTGATGTTCCTTGGCTTTTTTGTCCCCTCCATTTTTAAATTATTGTGTTTTTTTAATATAATAAATAGATATTTAAATGAGAAATGATTATTTACCTTTATTTGGAAACCTGATGGCTCTGATTTTGCTGGAGTTGTTGGTTCTGCTTTCACTTTTTCAACACTATTATAGATAAAGACATTATTAATATTACCAATACATATTAGTTAGACATTCAGTGTCCAAAATATATTCAACTAATGTATGACAATGCTTTGCATGAACTTCAAGACCAGAAATACATATATATAATAAGAAAATAATCTTATATCAAAGGGCATCTTCCTTCAAAGAGAAGATCTTCTTTATATCAAAGAGCAGAGCTGCTTTATACTGAAGGCATTGTCCTTATATCAAGGCACATCTTCCTTATATGAAAGGACATCTTACTTATACCAAAGGCTATCATCCTTATACCAAAGGGCCCCTTCCTAATATGAAAGTGAAGACCTTTATATTCAGGGCATCTTCCTTATATCAAAGGGCATCTTCCTTACATCAAAGAGCAGAGTTCCTTTATATTGAAGGCAATGTCCTTATATCAAAGGGCATCTTACGTATACTAAAGGGCATCGTCCTTATATCAAAGGGCATCTTACATATACTAAAGAACATCTTCCTTATATCAAAGGGCATCTTCCTTATATCTGCTGTAGACTCTAGTAGTCAACAATGTTTGTCAGTTATAAATTAGTTGGATCAATGTTAAAATTGCTTACTTGTAATCTTGATAGGATTCTGTCCAGTTTTTCGGTGTTTTTTCTGTTGGTTTACCAAATTTATCTAATAAACCAGTCTTAATCATCTTCTTCTTAATACTAGCCTATAAATATAGGTTAATATGCTGATTATCTTGTGCACTGGGGACTAAGTAGGGGATAACCTGGAGTACCTAGGGAACACTCACACAGAGGGGAGACCGATGCTAATCCAACTGTATTACTGAGCCCTTAGTCTTGCTTAGAAAACAGGCCTTATTTATGATATACATCCATCCACTCACCTGTCTAAGAATCGAATGGGTTGGGGTTTTATGTCTCAAGACAATTTTCAGTGAAACCTGGACATTTTTAGGGCTATCATGTGCAATGTGAGGTAGGAGAATTTTATCCAGACAGTGGTGTTCCAGCGTATTAGTCTTTGACTACTGTCAAGAGTTCTTTTACATGCACTGCAATATGTACGAGGATGGAAAATGATTTATCATACCATACAAACAACTGGGCAAATTTCCTTTTTAGCATCACATGTGCAGCACTGACACATGAATGCTGGGGCCATGGAAGTTCATCAGTATTTTCCAGCGTGGTCCCCTTTTGTCAGTTGTGCAGGACAGAGAGCCGGACAAGGACAACTGCTGTCTAGTCATTCGGATGGAATGGAAAACCATGAAAGTAAAAGATGCCTCGGCAGTTGAAATTTGATAAGAGTAGATCGTAGAAACTCTGCCCGGGCAAAATTTCCCTCATAGCACACTGTATGGTGTATGCCCGATTCATTAACCCGGTCAGAGCAAGACAGTAGGACGTTAAACACCAGATTTCATTTCACGTGAATGCTTGTCAAGAAAAACGCAAACTAAAGCTTTGATTAGAACCTAGTTCAGACTCCAGTGTCCTGACCACTTCAACCCACCCACCCGTCTAGGTTTTAATATATATTATCTACAATACCTTAGGGCCCAGACCCCATTTTCTAGGATATGTATCCCGTTCCATTATAACACGTTTTAACTTGGCCACTACTCCATGATCACATGTTGACATTACAGCTGTAGTCATTAATGCAATAGCTAAAAATAGATCATATAAACAATATTATTATAGCAAGCAGTGTGACACTACGGTGTCGTTAAATAGATGAATTATCAATTACTTCCTCTTCGTGATACGGCCCGTGATACTAGGGTGACACTATCGTCTAGGACTTTCTTTGACTTCACGCTGTGCATAATATGATAAATTAAACAGGAGCAAAATCTGATTATTGCAAGTCTTAATTTAGGCTTCAGATGTTATAGAAATTATAAATTAGATCTTTATTTAAACAACAAGCCCAAAATCAACTCTGTAGACCCACAGATGGCTCGGCTACAGCTCAAATTTAAATAGGATTTCACTTATTAATTAATTCAAATATGGCGCATCCTGATGAGAATACGTCAGTTAGATCGAAGTTAAATGATAGAGTGTACTTAGCGAGGCCGCTGTAGAGCGTTTCAAATGCCATTGAAAACTTTACTTGATAATCGAGATATGTAAGTGGAGTTAACGCCTGTCAATCAAACGATCGGACAAGGTGAAGGCACATTTCACTACCATTTCTAGTCAAATATTACAACGATGATAACTATGTTCAGAATAAAGTAATTTGACTGAAATTTTCAATATATTCTTTTTTCATCATCTACTTTTGAACTGTTATAGCAAGAATGGCCAATTCTCTATAAAAATCTCCCATAATGTATCTTTAACTCTGGAACAATTTTTACTTTAACTATGTTTTTATATCTTTATAACATCCATAATACAACGGTTATGTACAGGAAACTATACACACAGCTATGACATTAAATATAAGCTAAATATAAGTTCTCTTTCCCGAGCTTGTGTTTACAAGCATAGATTACAACTGACATCATTCTCTCTATCCCACCATTTCGTAGAACAAGTTAACTGATGGAGACCCTCACATCATAATCTGGCTCTCCTGGTGTCTACATGGTGTTCGAATGATGTCTATTTCCTAGCCCCTCAGTCGAGGTGGCTGTGGATATGATGTTCCCCTGGGAACTCTGAATGATATCTATTTCCCAGCCTCTCAATAATGTCTAAAGAAACTTAAATCATGTACGTTCTTTATAAAGAGGTTACGCGCATGAGTCATGTATTGAGCCCCGGGAAATTGACCAGGTACCTCCTTTATCGAATTGGTCAGCCGCACAGACGCTACCCTGGATTTCAACACAGTGTACTTATATAGGCACCTAGGAGGGTGGTTAACGACGTTTCTAATGCATGGGATTACCATATTTGGATTATCAGACTATGATGTCATTGCCCGATTTTAAACTACCAGATTTATCCTTGTTAACCTAATTCTCGTTGTCATTGGTACTAGCAAATGACTTAATACATTAACCAGAACATCTTTTACAGAACTTGGGTAACCTCTACAGTATATAGGCCCTATAGTGTTATAGTAGGTCGATAATTTCATCACTAGATGTGCATCCATAAAAGATAACAGCATTAGATTTGGTTCAGTTAAACTCAAATTTTTTTAAAATTAAATTCATAAAATAAATAGTCTGGAACCTTGAGAATAACTAAAAGATCAACTTACCTAATGCTACAGCCTCTCCTTTTGTTGTTACTATGACGATTTCTTGACCTACTTCTATACCATCTTCATATCTCAATACACCTGGTAACATAATCTTGGCACCATAACATAATGCATTTACCTACAAAATACAACATTATATTATCTTAGCACCATAATACATTTACCTATAAACTATTAGAGCTGTGTCGATATATCAATATGTATCGATACGTTCTGGCGATATATACAAACGACAGTCATACGTTAATGAGAATCGGCCATATTCAAGTTCATAATACGAGTACCCTAATTAGCTTATTTAACAGTAATTTTGATAATCCAGTAAAAAAACCAAGCCAACAGTGAGGCTGATGTCCCCCGCCGAAATACCAAAATAAAAAGATGACACATATTAATTAATCGCACATTTATTTTTTTCAAAAGTATCAAGCAATTAAACATTACATTAAGTTTCATCACTCTCTATCAGATAGAATCAAGATTATCTTGTCCCAAACCATCGACAAATGAAATCGATTAGCTCTGCTTAGCGTCAGCTCGAAATATTAATCATTGAACTCAAGTCAAGACATTCACCTAATGAACATCTACATTGAGTTTAAACATTCACCTAATGAACATCTAAATCAAATTTAAACATTCACCTTATAGACACCTACGCCAAGTTTGAACATTCTACCTCAATTAGGAGAGTTATTGTGTTCCAAACTGTCGACCAATCAAATTGCTTATCACTCTGATTACCCTCAGCAAAAAATGTTCATTATCAAACTTAGTCAAGGTATTCATTCATGTAATAAAGCTATACACCAAGTGTCCTCACTCTCACTTAATTAGAACTAAAGTTATCGTGTCCCAAAGCATCAATCAATCAAACTGCTTATCTCTGCTTACCTTAAGCAGAAAATTCTCATCTTCGAACTCCATCAAGGCATTCACCTAATAGACACCTACGCCAAGTATGAACATTCTAACTCAATTAGAATGAGAGTTATTGTGTTCCAAAGTCTCGACCAATCAAATTGCTTATCACTCTGCTTACCCTGAACAGAAAATGCTCATTATCGAACTTAGTCAAGGTATTGATGTAATGAAACTATACACCAAGGTTCATCACTCTCACTTAATTAGAACTAAAGTTATCGAGTCCTAAAGCATCAACCAATCAAATTGCTTATCTCTGCTTACCCTAAGCAGGAAATGCTCATCTTCGAACTCCATCAAGGCACTGACTTAATAAACACCTACACCATGTTTGAACATTCTGGCTCAATTAGAAGAAGAGTTATTGTGTTCCAAAGTCTCAGCCAATCAAATTGCTTATCGCTCTGCTTACTCTGAGCAGAAAATGCTCATTATCGAACTTAGTCAAGGTATTGATGTAATGAAACTCCATCAAGGCATTGATCTAATAAACATCTGCACCAAGTTTGAACATTCTAGGTCAATTAGAAAGAGAATTATTGTGTCCCAAAGTGTGACAGACAGACAGACGGACGGACAGACGAACATATTTTAATAGTCCACTGCTTTCTTCGAAAGGCGGGGGACAATAAAATACAAGCTTGCTGATTATTCATAACAGGTTCAGTAAGATGCTTTTGTAAAAATAACCCACATGGCAAAAGAAGACGATCACGGTATGGTTTTCCAATTGAGTGTCTTCCACGTATCGGTTTGAAGCATCGTCAATACGTATCGTATCGAAAATGAACTGTATCGACACAGAACTATAAACTATACAATATTACATAAAATATTTCCTTTCTATTTGTCTTTACACATACTACTGATGAAGTAAAATAATTATAAACTCTACTGTCTTCCATGATCGAAGACCGCTCTAATTTTTGATTGCAAAACCAGATGTTTTCTTTGTGTAAGACAGTGTTTCACAGTCTGGGGTCAACGAAATCAACAGGCTCAGAAGGAAAAAGGGTAGACAAATTATAAATTCAGTATGAAATTATTGGTATGTAGACAATGCATTTCAGTAATAGATATCAGAGTCACATTAACATGAGCTTGGGTTTACTCCATATTCCTCAATGTTTGAATAGCCTATTCAATAGTCAAATGGTTTTTACTTACTGCTGTGTCTTTCATGATAATACGTTTATGAGCAGTGAGCAGAGCTTCTAGAGGTTTTATTGCACGACGAAGATAAGCTTCATCTTTATGATTCTCGTACAACCACTGAGCATCCATCACATCATGCATCGTAACTAGTCCTTCCTGGAAATAAAGTACAAAACTTTTCAAACACAAATTTTATGTACTGTTATTATGTGCCGAGTTTTAAAATGGAAAGGTTGAATGTCCCGTCAACAAAATAATTGGGGTTTTTTTTTTTCGACTAACATATAGTAAATTTTATTTCTATGGTTAAGCGTGTAATGTGAAGTGAGACTCTTCCTTGAAATTTAGGGGAGCCACGTTGGCTCATTAGCCTGGAGTTCGCGTGTTGGATCCCTGCATTAGCCGAGAGATCGTTCATCAGGATTTTCCGACGTGGTTTCCCCTTGTCAGTGGTGCAGGACGGAGGATCTGAAAAGGACAGCTGTCTAGTCATTCGGATGATACGGAAAACTGGGGTCCCGTGTATACACTGGCGTGCAAGTAAAAGATCCCTTGGCAGTTGGAATTTGATATAAGAGCAGGTCATAGTGCCGTTGTCTGGGCAAAATTTCCTTCATATCATACGGTATGGCTTATGGCCATCTTTATTAGCCCAGTCACAGCAGAACAGTAGGACGTTAACCCCCATTTCATTTTCATTGAAATTCCAACTGCTGCGGGTTCATTTGCATGCAGTATTCTGTCCCATCCGAAAGACTATAGACATATTTCCATGTCTTCGTTAGCCCAGTCGGAGCAGAACAGTAGGATGTTAACCCTCATTTCATTTTTATTGAAATTCCAACTGCTGAGGGTTTATTTGCATGCAGTTTTCTGTTCCATCCAAAAAGAATATAGACACGTTTCCATGTCAGTTAGCAGAGTTTTGGAAGAGAGATTTAGAGCGAAATGGATCAAGAATATGGAACTTTGTATTAGTCCAGAAAAATACATGTGATTGTCAAAATATCTAGAATAAAATAAGCTTTCAAACCAGTCACAGCAAAAAAAACCCAAAAAAACATTATATTAAGAAGTTTAATCAGCAAACCTTTTCATTATTAATACCAGAGCGAACTCGTCTTAGTTCTTGCATCTGACCTCCAACCCCTAAGAAAAGGCCTAGATGAACACACATGGTTCGGATGTACGTGCCTGCCTCACAGCTCACCCAGAATATACCTGGGAAAGACGAAAGAGAACACTATTATTAATATTTAATACAAATGCTGGAGGATGCTAGTAAGCATCCTATAGAGCTTAACATATGTGAAGCTAATATCAAAACTACCGCAGAACTGTAACATAAAAACTACTGTTAAACTGTAAGATCAAAACCACTGTTGAATTGTAATATCAACCAAAACTGTTGACATTACAACTACTGCAGAATTGCTATACGAAAACTACTGTAGAATTGTAATATCAAAACTACTGTAGAACTGTTATATCAAAACTACTGTAGAATTGTACCTGTCTGTGAAAGTAATTTCCAGACCTAATTTTTAGCGGATTCCATAAAAACTTGGTTTATAATCAAGAAACCTGGTTTATTTACCAAAGAAATTATCATAAAATACATTAAATGTCCTGTAACACCTTATTCGGACTGCTTTGAAGTTTAAAAGTAAACATACATTAGTTAAATAGCTAGCCATTCCTGTTATAACAGTTCAAAAATAGATAATGCAAAATGAATATATTGAAAATTTCATTCAAATTAGTCTATTCTGAGAGAAGATATAAGCCTATGAAAGTTTGACCGTACTGGTGGTTCGTAGCTTAGCCTTGCTTCTCAATTTTTGAATTAAATCAAACCCTTCTAGTATACTTAATATTTGAGAAATCTTATGGTATCGAGAGTTGATTATGGTCTGATGTTAATTAGTGTCCAATTATAAGTTTCTATAACATTCAAAGCCTAAAAAAAGACCAGCAATAGGCATATTTACCTCTTGCATAATGCCTGTTTAATAAGAATAACATTTAATTTGCATACCCATTCCTTTATCTTTATCATATTCCAATAGTTTAGATTCATAAACAGTTCGAACTCGAAGTTGTCTTTTTACAGCAGATATTAAAGGTGGGCGTTGAAATAAAGCACCTGTTAACATTTCTATATTCTGAAACAAAATAAAGATCAGAACACTAAAATATCTATCCTGAAATGAAATCGGGATTAATATCTTTTCTGTGCGACCAAGGTTATTGAAGACAACCAAATGACACACAGAACATTTTACAACCTACTCAGATTTTTATTTCGAACTGGTAAGGAGATCTTTTAACGTTATGCCAATGCTATACAAAAGGCCTCTGGTTTCCATGCCATCTGAACCACTGACACAGGGGAAACCATGCTGGAAGGTCTCAAGGTACATTATCAGAATGTCAACACCAGGACAGAAGCTGGGATCTTTTAGCTTGTGAGCCAAGGCTATGCCAATTCAGTTCCCTTGACTCCCTATTTTTAAATTTTACGTAACTACATACCTTTGCTACTTTCTGTTCATCTTCTACAAGGCTATGTAAGTGAAAAATACAAACATATTCTTTCCCTGCACTTTGTTGCGATTTGACCAATCGTGTAGCTCGTTCTATACAGACTATGAGACATCCTGTGACCTTAGGGTCAAGTGTACCACTGTGACCAGTTTTTTCTACTTTTAATATGCGTTTGACCCAAGCAACAACTTCATGTGACGAAGGATTGGCAGGTTTATCTAAATTAATGAATCCTGATCTGTAAAACAGAAACAAATAAAGAATGAAAAATTTGTTAGTCTTTTAACTATATATATAATCAAAGTTGTCTGTGTTCGTCCATCACGTTTCGTCACTTACTCCTATATGGAATTCCAACTACCAAGGGATCTTTTACGTGCACACCAAGTGTACACAAGACCTCATTTTTCCGTCCTATTTGGGTGACTATATGTTGCCCCTTGCCAGGCCCCCTGTCTTGCACCACTAACAATGGGGAACCATGCTGAACAATCCGGATGAACTTCCTTGGCCAATGAGTGAGAGAGAGAGAGAGAGAGAGAGAGAGAGAGAGAGAGGGAGGAGAAAATGGGGTTTAACTTCCACTTGACACAAACTTGGTCATTTCGGGACTAACGTGTGGTTTAATTTTATTTCAAAAATTCGTTTTTGCGTAGGGGTCTTTAGCAGTGGGAGGAAACCGGAGGACCCGAAAAAAAAAAAACCCATGAGGTTGAACAGGCGACCCAACTCCTTGTCACGTACAACCAGGGATTCGAAACCACGGCAGTTACCTCAATGACAGGCCTTATGATGTAGCATGCATGTGCTAACCATTCCCCCCCCCCGGCCAATGCAGGGATCGATCAAACACAGGAACTCCAGGTAAGTGATCCAACGTCTTTCTCACTTAGTAGCTGTGGTTCCCACATTCTACAGTAGATATCGCATGTGATAACTTTCGTATTCTACTTTCGTTAGACTTGTGTTGATATTTTGTGATATAAAAAGAACCTCATAGATTCTATATTTATCACATGTGTTCTACGATCAACTGCCTATTTTTAATTTTCAAAGACAATAATTTCCTTACTTAACATATTCTTCAATGGGTCTTTTTAATGGTGAACTGCCTGATGGAATGGGAACAAAATGATTTGTTAACACATTTAATTTATCAAAATTCTGAAATAAAATAAATAAAATTAATTTTAAAATATGTTTACTCTTCCACTACCATGTTTATTTACATGCAAGGCCCAGTATAACCATAAGAAGTCTTTAACTTTTGTTTATACAATGTAATTTTTATGTGTGGTTGTTAAGGCCGTGTTGAATTGATTGCTTGTTTCTCCTCGCCCGCGCGCTTAGGTCGAGGACCCCGAAAATCGTGCGCTTATGTTTTTAACACAAAAAAAAATATTCAAAAAATTACGTTAATAACATCTAAAAAAAATTCTACCAAACATCAGAAGTCAATTCTCGTTGTTTATTCCTCGTTACGAACTAAATGAGTAAGTGCAGGGGGGCCGCACTACACGCAAAACAAAAATCTACAAGATAAACCTGCGGACAAGACAGAAAATAGGCATTGCACCGAATAAACAAATATCAAATCAAGTGAATGGATCCGGTTGATAATACACATGTAGGGGCCCGCATACTATGGAATAAGTTACACTGTATATGATTGGATGAATTCTGCAAAATGGCGCGTGTAGCAGTCATTTCGGCTAATGAGAAAGCATATTATAAACTGTAAGACAGTCGCTAATATTCAACCGGGAACCTGAATAATCAATTTTTTCATTGGCTAAAATAAATAACACGTCATTATTATTCAAGTATTACCCAATCATATCTTGTGTAATAAATAACGCACGCCTTACATAATGGTGAGCTATACCGGGACATAGGTAAATTCGCGTACCAGTCGGCCTAATTTATTGATGTTCAAGGAAATAATAGTGGTCCCGTTCGCTCGTTTCGGGAGTTTAACGAACGAACGAACGGGACCACTATTATTTCCTTGAACATCAATAAATTAACGAACGAACGGGACCACTATTATTTCCTTGAACATCAATAAATCAGGCCGACCGGTACGCGAATTTACTTATCTCGACTCGACTTTGGTGTGTATTCCCAGCACTTTCACTTTCGATGATATTGTCAGAACCATCTATAAGTTATAACTCAACAAGCGAATCAAATTTCGTCTAACTGGAATGTTTCCATTGTATTGTAACACAAGAATACGGAAAATTTATATCAAATTTTAGTTTGTTATTAAATTTATTTAATTAAATAAATATTATCTGTGTTTTTATTCTAACCAATAATATAACTAGATTATTTATAATATTATTAAAAATGGTACACAACTCTCAGACTATATAGGTATTATGCCCGACCACTTTGTGTTTTGAAACCCACTTTGTGTTGTGTTTACCGCACTACCGCACATGATTGCCAGAGTGGTGGCAGGAGAAACAAGGAATCAATTCAACACGGCCTAAGGATCGATCAGTACATGTATATTCAAAACTGGTCGTCCAATATCCCGAAATCAAATAAATCTGTTAATTATAGAATTTATAAAACGGAATTTAAATTAGAACTGTATCTCATCTCATTGCTGAATAATTATAAATATACATTTCTAAGATATAGAACATGTAACCATAAACTCAATGTCGACGTCCGACGATGGATGAATGTAGATTTTGTTCTTTGTGTGAAGTAAATGAATATCACTACCTATTCAATTTACTTATTTTATTAAAGAACGTACTTAAAATTTTTAACTTTGTACTGAACAGGTAAAAATGATATAAATAAAACACAAAACAAGATAATTTGCGCCAGGCGATATGAATGCATCTGACACTGTGGGAGACAGAATTGCACTTGACAAAGCCTGAATTCCTGCCTTTACAGTGTCCAATGGCAGATGTCTTAATACCAGACATGATCATACAAGAAAAGCAGCTCTTACACAAATATCAACGAACTGCTAACAATTCACAATGTAACTGGGTATCATTTAATCTTGTGTATCTAGCACTAATATCTTTCACATTGGTTTAATAGCAAATCTTTGTTTAAAATTTTATAAAAAACATTTAAAATCACCCAAGATCATCTAATTTGTACTTGTGTCCAGTTAAAACTGACTCATTAATTTTGATAATGAGTGGCCAATTTACAAGTATTCTATTTTCTGATCACTGTTCGAAAATTAATCAACGCTTGTAAATTGGACACTCATCAAAATTGAATGGTCAGCTTTAAACGGGACACAAGTACAAATTAGATATTTTTGGTGATTTTAAATGATTTTTACAAATTTTTAAACAAAGATTTGATATTGAAATGAATGTGAAAGAAATGAGTGCTTAATGCACAAGATTAAAAAATACCCGGATTACAGTGTCAATCACCAAATAAAATACATGCAGATCAATGTTATTTTACAATACTGTACCTTTAATAGTAAGGGCCATTGTGATGTATTTAATTTTTCTACTTTCTCTGAAGGCTTCAGTAAAAAATGTTCTGACTGTTGGATATCCTAAAAAAAATAATATAGATTATTAAGTGGTGCTTGACAATTAAGTTGGTAACTTACATAGGGATCCAAGATTTATAGTTAGAAATTTTAAGTTTCAAATGAAATGGGGTTTAACATCCTACTGTTCTGCTCTGACTGGACTAATGAAGACAGACATACCCCATACAGTGTTCTATGAGGGAAATTTTGCCTGGACAGCGGCTCTACGGCCTACTCTAATAGCAAATTCCAACTGCCAAGAGATCTTTTATATGCACGCCAATGCCTACAATGTACATGATACCTTGGTTTTTCATCCCATCAGAATGACTAGACAGTTGTTATTGTCAGGGCCTCTGTCCTAAAGTAACCTGCCAAGAGATCTTTTATATGCATGCCAATGCCTACAATGTACATGAGACCTTGGTTTTTCATACCATCAGAACGACTAGACAGTTGTTCTTGTCAGGGCCTCTGTCCTACACCAGACACAGGGAAACCATGTTGGAAAATCCTGATGAACTTTCTTGACCAAAACCAGGATCGAACCCGCGACCTCCAACCTAGCGAACCAGCGTCTTACTAACCTGACTGTTTTCGAGATATTATTTGTACTAAACCAAAAGATGTCACTCCTAACGGTATAGTTACATGTAATGATAAAGCAATGAACGTAATTTCTAAAGTTGCTGTAATAACCAAAAAGTTAAATATTACTGCTATTCAGAATCGTAAAAAATAGATTTTTTACGGCTGTAATAGTTGATAGATGTGAGGAGAATATCACGTGCGATGGCTATTTGTAGACTCTTGCACTGAGTGTTATCGTAGAGCGAGACTAGCCAGAAATCACTTCCGAGTCAAGCCACTGAAGAGTGCACATTCAGCATTCCTTTCAGTTGGGAAAATTTTCGCTGCACGGGGCACCCTATCATTTCATCTTTTTTGCGACAAGTGTACGTGCCTGCAGTTTTGAGTTTAAAATTGCAATGAAACTTACTGCAACGTCAGCTTCACTGATGCTCTTTCTTTTCTTCTTTTTTACTGCAATAACATTAATTAATTCAATGTAAAAACTATTAGATAATAAATCTTAATTATGTTGACTAATTGAACCTTCTACTCAGCCGCAAAATAAAAATCATAAACAAAACCACGTGCTTTTTCAGGAGCAAGAACACCAGCATTTAACTAAGCGAATTACTCAAGATTTTTCTGACAGAGGACTTAAACTTTAATTACATGGATCTAATAGGCGATAACTTTCAATATCCCAAAATATGCATTGGTGTCGCTATTTAGTTTTTGCATTATTTTGAATTTCGTTCAAATAGAGACAATATTTACCTTCTACATCAGCCATTTTTATTTTTAGGATTTTAACAACACGTGGTTGAGCGCGCGCACCAGGAAGCTACCAGCCGGTTCGTATCCGGTTTGTTACGATTATCAAGTTGTGTATCTTCCTTCCAAAAGAGTATTTATGACAAACAAGCCTTCAAAAATGGTTGAAAACTGAAAGAAGAAACATTTTGTTGCGACTGAATATGCAACATTGGAATGTTAGAGTTAGACACACTAGATAATGATACAGAACTTACTGTACATGTACTACATGTAGTTTAAAATCAGAAGGTTATCATTATGTGGCATTGTTGGTTGATCTGACTAATTTTTTAGGGGGCCCTTTTTTCACAAAGAACCTAAAATTAACAACCCTAACAATCCACATAGTTTAGATTTGAAAGGGGTTAAATAAAGAGAAAGGATAAAATAAGAGAAGAGAAACAAATGATAAGATGAATGAAAAAAAGTAGTCAGATCAACCAACAGCGCCCATTATATTTATATAATTAGTTTGCATGTCTTTCCATTATGTTATAAATAAATTTTTGGATTTTTCTTTTCATTTTCAACTTAGAATAGAGAAGTGTAGCGAACCGATCGATGATAACAGATCCAAACGTTATTATTTCGCAGCTATCGATGATTGTCTTTAGTCTGATCAGAAACCTTCAACTGGCAATTAATTTAAACTGTTAAAAAACTAATTAGATACATGTATTCTCAATGGCCCAGTGAAGTGTTGGCTTGCTATACTAACCTTCCAGTGTTGGCTGAGAAAGTTCATCGTGATTTTCCGTCTAGTTCCTGTTTGTCAGTTGTTGCCGGATGGAGGACTGGCAAAGGACATTGTCTAGTTGTTCGGATGGTAGATGTAGCATAAACAGAGTGAGTTCCTGTGTTCATGTTGGCGTTTTCGGCGTGGTTCCCCCTTGTCAGTGATGCAGTACGGAGGGCCTGACAAGGACAGAGGGCCAGACAAAGACAGGAGTCTAGTCGTTTGGATGGTACGAAAAACCAAGGTCCCGTGAACACATTGGCGTGCACTTAAAAGATCCCTGGACAGTTTGAATTCGATATAAGAGTAGGTCATAGTGCCGCTGTCCAGGCAAAATGTCCCTCATAGCACACTGTATGGCGTATGCCCGTCTTCATTAGCCCAGTTCGGAGCAGAACAGCCGGACGTTAAACCCCATTTCATTTCATTTCATGTTGGCGTGCACATAAAAGGTACCTTGACAGTTGTCATTTAGAGGTGCGCTATTTAGTGGGCCATTTAGAGGTGCGCTATCTAAGCAGAGTTCCCACATAGCACACAGCATGATCTAGGCTAGTTCAGTTCTGAATGTAGGTCTCATTACACCCGCGCTGTAGGCTGTCTTCATTAGCCTGGATGGAACAGAAAAATAGAACATTCAACCCCATTTCATTTCTGAAATAATTTGAGCGATTGTCAATATTGTCATGTCACAAAAAAAGTATATCAAGAGGCCAACACAAATTACTAAATGCAATTATCGTAAAAGATAATATATATATATATCTGAGTTTATATCCAGTTAAAATTGATCAAAATTTAGTATTTAAATTTAATGAACAAGTTGCATGTTATACATTGTAAACACAAATTTTAAATCTTTTCATCTGTTACAAGTTAATTATATAATTTGTATATATCTAAAATTAATATTATTATTTATTTGTTTTCCTCACTTTCGAATCCCCGGTTGTACGTGACAGGGAGTAGGGTCGCCTGTCCTTCCTCGTGGGTTTTCCCCCTGGTCCTCCGGTTTCCTCCCATTGCTAAAGACCCCTACGCGCAAGCAAATTATTGAAATAAAATTAAACCATATTTTAGTCCCGAAATGACCTAGTTTGTGTCAAGTGGAAGTTAAGCCCCATCTCTCTCTCTCTCTCTCTCTCTCTCTCTCTCTCTCTCTCTCTTTTGTTTTCCTCACAAACATAAAATTGTCTCATCAGGTTTATTACTGTATACCAAGAGAACGAAAATCAACAGCTACATGAGAAATGGGTGTTCATGGTTTGTGGCAACTGCTTCAGGCATCAGGAAGACCTGTATCTTTAGAAAGTTTGGATGGAAAAATACTTGCTGTGGGTATCCTTTTATAAATAGCATTCTGAGAACACTTGACGAGATGTTAAACTGAGAACACTTGATGAGATGCTAAACTGAGAACACTCAGTGAGATGTTAAACTGAGAACACTTGGCGAGATGTTCAACTGAGAACACTTGGTGAGATGTTAAACTGAGAACACTTGACGAGATGTTAAACTGAGAACACTTGGTGAGATGTTAAACTGAGAACACTCGGTGAGATGTTACACTGAGAATACTCGGTGAGATGTTAAACTGAGAACACTTGGTGAGATGTTCAACTGAGAACACTTGACGAGATGTTAAACTGAGAACACTAGGTGAGATGTTAAACTGAGAACACTTGGTGAGATGTTAAACTGAGAACACTTTTAATCACAATGTTTGATAAATGTAATTGATTGATTCAGGTAACTAGTGCATTGAAGTATGTTCGATAATAAACAAATAAATATTTCTTATTAGACATATGGGAGCCTCTGTGGTGGTTCTATTAATATGGTACCGGATAGGCTACTGCCGACTCCCACAAAGTCCCCATGTTCGATCGCGGTGTTGGCCAAGAAAATTTGTCTAGATTTCAAGCCTGGTTTCTATTTGTTCAGATGGGTCAAAAAGTCCTGGCCTTGGTAACAAGTTAAAGATCTACTGATCGTTGGAATTTGAAATTAGCGTATGCTGCTGTTCAGGCAAAATTTCCCATATGGCTAATTGCATAGTGTGTAAATGCCTTCTTTAGTTTGGATGGAACCGAACCCTAATTACATGTACATTTAAAGCTACCAATTTACATGTACGTCTGTCATGAACTTAGATCATTGACTTTTGAACTTAGGAATAAAAAATGTCTTTACTTAACAAACGTTTTACTCAAATTCAGCAGTTTCTGTCAAACAAGAATCAATATTTTTCCAGATTTATGTGTTGATGTGCTGCTATCCTGACATTTTGTGGGGAATAACGTTTTAGGTCATCCCAGTTAGATTTATCTCTGTACTGTTATCAGATGTTTCATTTGTGGGGGAAATTTTTGTAATGGCAGTCCAGTGAGCTTGCACTCTGTACTGTTATTGGATGTTTTATTTTCCTTAACGTTGTGTAGATGTCAGTCTGTGGTTACATCAGACTACTAAAGGTATGAGAGATAAAGATGGCAATCCTCTACCAAATGCCCATCTTCATGGTCTCTTCACTCGTATCTGTAAACTACTATTCTATAGAATAAAACCAGTTTTTGTTTTTGATGGAGGAGTTCCAATTTTAAAGAAGCAAACTTTGGTAAGTTTTGAAATCTATTTTGCAAGGTTTCAAACCCAAAGAGGTCCAGAAACGTAATTGTATGGAAACCAGCCATAATAATTAAACTGGGTTACTGTTCTGCTAAACAAACCTGCAGCCATTCCTTTTAATGTGACTCTGATATCGGCTATTGAAATAAATTGTCCGAATACCAACAATTTCAATATTTGACACTGACATTTACTTGGCTTTCATTTTTTTTTTTTCATAGCTCCTTTGATCCCTCCACCCCCACCCACCTTCGCTTGTTTTATGGCCGAATGGTTAGCATGTGCGCGCTGTATCATAAGGTCTGTCATTGAGTCAACTAGCGTAGTTTAGATTTCCCGGTTGTACATGACAAGGAGTAGGGTCGCCGAAATGACCCCATCCCAGTTCTCTCTCTCCCCGTCCAGTGGGGGGCAGCTGTAGTAATTGCCCCCCACCCCCACTACGGGCCTGCAATTTCACTTTGAGAGTGTCGATAAGCTTAGTTAAATTATAATCCCTGAACATCTGCACATGCAAACCATCATAGATACATGATTCTTGCAACCATATGATTCTTACACATAATTCTTCTCTTTTCGCAGGCTGCTCGACGAGAAAGAAAAGAATTCGCGGAGAAAGAGAGTGGTAAAGCCAGCCGTAAATTACTGGAGAATTTGATGAAGAGTCATGCTGTTAAAGCTGCATTGGGACAAGATACATCTGGAGTTCAACCAGGTCCTTCTTCATTGAACAGTAATAGAAAACCTGATGTATTTGAGTTAGCTCCCTTGCCAGATATTGACAGAGGGTAAATCACATTTCATATTTTAAACATTGATTTATATCAGGGTTTGACAAATTTTTACTAAATAATTGTAAACTTGAAACCAAGCCTGGACGGACAATCGCTATAGTGCCAACCATTTTGCTGACATAGATTTGGGTATTTTGATCAGTGCTATTAATGAAACTTATAATATACATGTGGCCAAGTCGTATCATTGTGTGGCTAAGTTGGTAAGATTCAGTCTCTGCACTCTCATCAGGATTTTCCAACGTGGTTTACCCTTGTCAGTGTTGCAGATGGAGGGCCTGACAAGGACAGCAGTCTAGTCATAAACCAAGGTCTTGTTTATACATTGGTATGCACGTTAAAGATCCCTTGGCAGTTTGAATTCAATATAAGAGTAGGCTGTAGTGCTGCTGCCCGGGCAAAATTTCCCTCATAGCACACTGTAAGGCGTATGCATGTCTTCATTAGCCCAGTCGGAGCAGAACAGTAGGCTGTTAAACCATTTCATTTATAACAATGGAGATGGCAGATGACTTTATCATCAATCTACAAAAAGTTTGCTTTGCCCTGATTCATTTCCCCATCTTCATTAGCCCGGTTGAAGCAGAACAGTAGGACGTTAAACCCTATTTCCATTCATTACTGATTCATGTCACTCTTTCATATCCTGATCACCAAAAATCATGTCAGTGTAGACTAATTAAGTACATGTATCTATCTATTTGATTTTATAGATCAACCGATGCTATGAATTATGATGATGAATTTGAAGAAGAATTGCTGGAGTATCAGGCCTTGATGGAGGTAATGACAAGTAGGCTTTAATATATAAAAGTTCTCAAAAGATTATACAAATTATTTTAATCTTTTCCACACCAAATGAAGTTCTAGGATGGATATTTCACTGATTTCTATCCCTCCTTTGTTCCTGGTTTTGTTTACAGAACATTCCTAATAAACCGTTCACGATATCTTTATGAGCCTATTGTGCATGTAGTATTTGAACCGTTTGCTTATTAGAAATTATAACCGGGTATCTTAAACATACATTATGCAAGAGCTAAATCTGCCTATTTCAGGTCTTTCTTTAGGCCTGAAATGTTATCTAAATTATTAATTAGACATTTATTAACTTATCCAGACTATAATCAACTATCAATGTCATTGCTCGCCTGCGATATTTACTGGATTAGGATTCGATTTACTGCACGACTTTCATTCATGATTTAATCATAAAATGGATAATCAAGACTTTTATCATACTGACCTTAATAATGATGATCAAGGCTAGGCCGAAAATTCTTGGTTCAGAGTGAATCAATTTGACCGTTATTTTCAGCAATTTCCATTTACATTATCTATTATTTAATTATTATAGTGAGAACTGCCAGCCCTTTATCTAATTTCCCATAATGTATCTTTAATTAAGATACTCTGATACTTTATATTTGTTGATTACCAATAACACACAGATTGATACCTATATCTATAAAGACATGTCCAAGGATGTGGGATGTTGATGACGAGTCTTCTTGTTTTCTAGCTTTCAACTGTTAACACCGTAAATCTTTTATCTTTTGTCTAGGAAAAATTTCAGTCGTTGAATAATATTGATACAGAATCAGATGATTTTAAAAATCTTCCTCCAGAGATACGTCACGAAATACTCACGGAGATGAAAGAAGTTAGAAAAAAACATTTTGTTATATGTGAAGATTTACCAGAGGTAAGCTGAGTTAAAATATATTTTTATACGGCAACATTTCATTGTGGGCTAATTATGTCGTCACCCTGTCAGTTTTTGTCAGATTTATTTCAAATTTGGTGTGAAACATCGCAGTCTTGAGAGGACGAATCTTATCGATATCCAGTTTGCTGTGACTTTATGTTCCAGAGTGATCCCCCAATTGCCAAAAACCTTGTGAACTCGATAGAGGCTGTAGTTTTAACAGATGTTTTTCAAATTTGGTTGGAAGCAATGGGGTCATAAGAGGATGAACCTAGATCCTTGTCAAATTTGCTCAACATCCAAGTTTCCTTTCGGATAGCTGTAGTTGAGACAAAGCTACTGTGTGAGCACATTCCACATTTTGTTACTAAGAGGTAATCTTTGAAATTTAACTATTTATTGTGTTCTTTGAGATTGTAATTCTGTGTCATACCTGCAATGAGGGCCCTGATATCAACCGTTGACGTTAAAAGTTATTACCTTTATTTTTTAGCACTCATCAGAACCTGTTTGTTTATGTCAATTCAATTATTTATGTAATGATGATTTATTTGTTTATGTGGGGTGTTGGATGGCTGATGGTTAGCATGCGCGCGCTGTATCATAAAGTCTGTCATTGAGTCGACTGGCGTGGTTTCGAATCCCCGGTTGTACGTGACAAGGAGTAGGGTCGCCTGTCCAACCTCGTGGGTTTTCTCCGGTACGTCCGGTTTCCTCCCACTGCTAAAGTCCCCTACGCGCAAGCGAATTATTGAAATAAAATTAAACCATATGTTAGTCCCGAAATGACCTAGTTTGTGTAGATGGGACGTTTAAACCCCATTTCTCTCTCTCTCTCTATTTGTTTATGTAATGATAATTTATTTGTTTATGTAATGATAATTTATTTGTTTATGTAATGATAATTTATTTGTTTATGTAATGATAATTTATTTGTTTATGTAATGATATTTTATTTCTTTATAGGACACAGACGATTTCTCATCCTTTCAAATCTCTAAATTAATGAAAAGAAGTAAATTATCTAGTCAGATCGAAGATGTTCGAAAACAAATGAATGCTCGTAACTCAGGGGATATAACGGCATCGTTGGGTTGGGACATTCACAGTGATAATGTGATTACATCGAGAGTTGTCTCCGAGGACTCTTCTCATTACATACTGATCAAAGGGCTGGGAAAAAAACGACAATTAGAAGAAGCCAATGAATGTGAAAAAATTGTAGCAGAAATGGAAAAAATGGAACCAAAAGTTAAAAGTGTTAAAAAATGTTACGAGGACAGCAGCAATGGAGAAATATCCAGCGATCTTGACGAACTTGGTCTTAACAGTGAGGAGGAAAGATTACGTGAAATATATAAAAGGAATTTAGAAAGGACTATGATGAATGACAGTCACTTGGATGATGATGTTGTTATAAGTTCTAAGGCATTTAAAAAAGGTCAAAGTTCACAGCATATTGAGAGAGTTGGGGTTAGTTCTAGTAAAACGGGAATGGAACAGAAAACAGACACTCTCCAAACAAATGCAACCACAGAGAATAATGAGGATTCTTCCGATGGTAATAATATTAACCCTAAATGGTTTTTCAAAGTTAATAAATATGTAAGATTCAACTGACATTTTGCGAAGCTGATTATAATTAATTACATTGCAATATAATGGCCCAAGCCGTGGTTTTCAGTCATATTACTACTCTTGACTGACTGGTAGTGAGAGAGACAAAGAGACAAACAAGGCCATGGTTCAACTTTATTTCATTAGTGGTGAGAGGAAACCGGAGGATTCTGAGTAAACCCTTGAGATTGGATAGGCGACCCTACTCCTTGTCACATACAACCGGGGAATCGAAACCATGCCACTTGACTCAATGACAGACCTTATGATCTAATGTGAATGCATTAACCATTCGGTCGCCCATCCGTCCGTCTAGTAGTGAAATTGACCGTCTGGACAATTTACCTGTCTCTCAATGTACATGCCATACAATTAGAATTTTAAAGAATTTAACCGTAACCACAATAAATACAGTTATATTTATAGTTTTTGTGTGTGAAAACAATTAAAAATATATTTAAACATTTGGATAATACTAAAAATTGGCTAATTCCTTGAAAAAAAAACGATCTTGGTAATATATCACAACTTTACTGGGTAGTACAATTTGAAGTGAAAGTCTTGGTTGGAAATTTGGAACAACATCAAAATTTCACATTTTCACAATAATTTATATTTAATACATTTTACAGATGAGGGATTTATAGAAGTCACAATTGATCCAAATAAAGCAGACCAAGATGACATGTTTCCGGCAGCCATGTTTGATTCAGCAGATGTTAAAAAAGATTTCATTGCCGAACTCATAAAATTAAAAAATAAAAAGATGCAGACCAAGTCATCAGAGACTTTGATACAAAGTGATGAATCGAAAGTAGAGACTTATTCTTCCTGTGATAAAAATAATACGAGGTTGTTAGAAAAACCAAACAATCATGATATGCAAGAAAAAACTAATCAGGTACAAGCAGAAATACCATTGGAGAGTTCTGATTTCAAAAAGCCGAAAGATCCAATCAATGAACTCCATACAAATACTAACATAAAAGAAAATAATTTTTCAAGCAGAGAAGTCACAAAAGATCTTGTTTTAACCTCTGATGGTGATGGCTCTTCCAAAATAGAATTAGAGCAAGAAATAACAAATCAGTTATCCGACCGAAAAGAAACAGATTTCAACAAGCAGATAGAAGTTATTGATGTGGAGTGTGAAAATATTTCCAATAAAGAAATAGAATTCAATAAAAAGGAATTTGAATTACTAACAGACGATGAAAAGGGAATTATTAACAATAAACTGGTAAGTTACACAATACAATAAATTCTGGGCCCTTATTCACGAAAACTTAAACTAAGATACAATCGAAATTTTAAGAAATACTGCAATTCGATTGGCTGACCAATATGCAAATTGGATATATGCAAATTGATTTTACTGGTCAGCCAATCGAATTGCAGTATTTCTTAAAATTTCGATTGTATCTTAGTTTAAGTTTTCGTGAATAAGGGCCCAGGTTCTCAAATAATGCTTCTAAATTATTTGGCTAAATGACTTATCACAAACATCACATTTCAGCATTCATCTCGTTTGTTTTCTCGTTGCTTGTTTACTCACAATGTTTATAGGAATTTACTTCAGTAATTACTATTCTTGTGTTACAGTCATATCTAAATTAAATGAATTGAAATATGGTTTAACGTCCTACTGTTCTGCTCTGACTGAGCTAATGAAGACAGGCATATGCCATACAGTGTGCCATGAGGGAAATTTTGCCCAGTTAGCAGCACTATGGCCTACTCTTATGTCAAATCCCAACTGCCAAGGGATCTTTAATGTGCACACCAATGTGTACGTGGGATCTAGGTTTTTCGCCCCATCTAAACGACTATACGTTGTCCCTTGCCAGGCCCTCACTGACAAAGGAGGAACCACGTTGGAAAATCCTGATGAACTTTCTCAGCCAACGCAGGGATCGAACACGCGACCTCTCTGTTAACGAGCCGTCTTACTGTGCCCAATCATATCTAATGTGCTTAATACAAGTTTATTTACAGTAACGAATTGTCGTCATGGTCTACGATTTTGTACTTCTAATTTGAAGGATGCTCCTTCCATCACTCATCCACGTTTAGTATAATTTCAATTATGTCTTTCTCATTATACTCAACACACTGGATGTAGTTCGTAGGATAGTTATCAAAAAACAATGAGGTTTGAAGATTAAACATGGCAACTGTGTAACCAAATCGTGGCAATGCCTGTTAAAAAAAACATCTTGGGCTAAGCAATACAGAAGCTTATTTGTATGTTTGTAGAAAGGTTTTCAAGATGTCAAAGATATTGACATAGAATCTGAAGAATTTAAATCATTACCACCAGAAATACAGGTTGAACTTTTTACTGCCAAAAATAACCAACCAAACGTAACAACAGACGAACAGTTGTCTACCCTTGTTGATGAAGCAAATGCAGAAGATTTACATAGTGACCACGGTGACGATGGGGGTCAAGTAGTGATTGATGAGGAGAGAAGAAATTTCGGTGAAGAATTTCACGGTTTAAACAGGGTAAGTTCATCATTGTATATAATCACATAATAGACAGAAAAATTAAGTTCTGTTGTATACCATTGGCGAACGTTAAACATCCTTGAACAGTTGGAAATCAAAATAAGAGTAGGCTGTAGCACTTCAAATTGTCTTTCATAGCACACTGCATTGCATATGGGATGGATAACCAAGGTCCTGTGGTGTTTTCACATTTTCATGTACCTTAAAGAAACCTTGGTTAAATTAACTTAATAGCACATTGTGTGGTATTTCAGATGGAAAACAAAGTTTATACATTTTCATGCACACTGCATGTCATATGGGACGGAAAACCAAGGTCCTGTAGTGTTTACACATTTTCGTGCACCTTAAAGAACCCTTGGTTAAATTAACATCATAGCAAACTGCATATGGGACAGAAAACCAAGGAACTGTGGTGTTTACACATTTTCATGCCCCTTAAAAAAACGTTGGTTATATTAGCCTCATGGCACACTGCATGTCATATGCGATGGAAAACCAAGGTCCTGTGGTGTTTACACATTTTTGTGCACCTTAAAGAAACCTCCGTTATAATACCTCATAGCCAAAAAGTAAGATGTTAAACTCCATGTTATTTTCTCCGTTTGGTATATATACTATTCAAAAAAAGTAGGGGATATTTGATTTTTAAGTGTTATTAAAGTCACCTAATGAAACTGACGAAGAAACAAATGACAAAATGAAATGAAGTTCACATTCATCGATTTATTCCAAATGATCGTTAGACTAAGTAAGGCACAGACTGACCATTATAAGGGTAAAATGATACCCAGGGTCAAACAGCAAAGTTACCACAGCATCACAACCAAGTCAGTAACGGGTAAATCCTCCCCTGTTTGCCAAACAAGCATTGATCCGACGTGGCATACTCCTAATGAGACGTCTAAGGTCATTTTGGTCCAGATTGTCCCATTCCTGTTGCAACGCAGCAGCAAGTTCTTGGACATTGGCAGGACGTTGTTGACGTTGACGTAACCTCTGTCCAAGCATGTCCCAGACATGCTCGATGGGGGAGAGGTCGGGACTCAGTGCTGGCCAAGGTAATGTGGTGATGTTCTGTTGTTGGAGGTAACCTGTAACGATCCTGGCCCTGTGACATCTTGTGTTGTCATCCTGGAAGATGAAACGGCGGCCATGACGTCGTGCGAACGGCACAACATGGACTGCCAAGATGTTGTCCCGGTAGTACTGGCCTGTAACACGCCCTGCAACAACATGTAAAGCCGTTCTTCCAGCAACAGTGATGCCTCCCCACACCATAACAGAACCACCCCCAAATCGATCATGTCTAATGACGTTAACGTCTTGGAAGCGCTCGTTTCGACGACGCCACACCCTCCTACGTCTGTCCAAAAAATCAACAGTGAACCTTGACTCATCTGAAAACATCACATTGCTCCAGCGTCGATTATCCCAGTGTTGACGATCCCTACACCAACGACGTCTTGGCTGAATGTGATGATCTCTCAAACAAGGGATCACGCGAGGACGTCGGGCGCGAAGGTGACCCCTATGCAGTCGATTCCGAATCGTCTGGCCACTCACTCTGACACCAGTGTCTGTTGGAAGACGAGCGCTGATCTGATTTGCTGTGATGACACGATTTCTCAAGGCCAAGGTACGGATAAATCGATCCTGGGCTTGAGTTGTCGCCCTTAGTCGACCTGAGCGTGGTCTGTCCTGTACAGATTGTGTATCACGGTATCTGGACCATAGCCTGCTTATGACAGACTGAGAAACATTCATCGTCCGCTCCACAACCGCCTGTGTTGTGCCGATCTGTAGCATGCCAAGGGCACGTAACCTTTCATTTTGGGTAAGCCGACGCATATCAAAATTTGTTTTCTGGTCACTAAAACAATTAAACTGATGTTTCCACCCTGGAATTCAATGCCACAATGACTGTAACATTCAAAGTCAGAGTCGTGCAAATCTTGGGTTGGACCCCCATGATGATCCCAAGCATCACCTGCATTCCATGCGGTAGCTATTGGTGCGTTTGGGCGTCACATGTAACTGGAAATGTTTCTTCTGTTAGGTTCTATAGTGACTTTTTTCGTAGTCATTTGCATATTTTAGTATTAAGCCCCCAAAATCAAATATCCCCTACTTTTTTTGAATAGTATATTTAGCCTAAATAATTTGTTTTTCAGGGAGGTTTAGAAGATATGCAGACAGAGTTAGAGTTTGAAAGTCAAGTTTTACGTCAAGAGATAGGAAAGCAGGATAGACTAGCGACATCTATTACAGATCAGATGAATTTAGAAGCTCAGGTTCGTAAAGTTAGATCCAATATTTATTTTTCTGAATTCAAATCAAAATTTTAACAAGTGTAGTTGTTTGGATGACACCAAAAACAGATGCACTGTTTACATTGGCTTTGCCATTGAAGGATTTGTTGACATAAATATGCCGTCTGCTCCCAAATTCTTTATTCCATCTTAATTGTTGATAATTTATTCCTCGTAAAAGAGGTCCAGATGTTTATCAATTATCACATTTGTCCAAAGCAGCAGTAGCCAAAGGTTAATGGTTTATAGTTTACTTAATTATCTTTACCAACATGCATAGTTCTGCAAATGTTTTGTTATGGTGTTGAATTTTAACAGAAGATGTCTAAAAAATCTGTTCATTGTGGCATGGTCGGGTGTTCGATCCCTGCATTGGCCAAGAAAGTTCATCCAGATTTTCCGATGTTGTCCCCCCTTGTCAGTGATGCAGGACGGAGGGCCTGACACGGACAGCTGTCTAGTCGTTCGGATGGGACGAAAAACCGAGGTCCCTTGACAGTTGGAATTCGATATAAGAGTAGGTCGTAGTGCCGGTGTCCGGGCAAAATTTCCCTCATAGCACACTGTATTTCATATGCTCTTCTTCATTAGCCCAGTTCGGAGGACATTAAACCCTATTTCATTTCATTGTGGCATTTGACCGTGGTAACAGTTGCCATTGCCCTATATTGTCCGTGGGTATTTATCAGTATTCTCCAGCAATGTTTACCCACGTCGTTGATGCAGGATGAAGGGAAGGGCAAGGAAAGGTCTCTTGTCCTTTGGATGGGACAAAAAAAAATGAAGTCCTGTGTATACCATTTTCATCACATTAAAGATATCTTGACAGTTGGAAATTGAAATATAAATAAACCATAGTGCCACTGTCAGTGCAAAATGTCACTCATTGCACATTGCCTGTCTTCATTAGTAAAATAAGATGTTAGTCTCCATTTCATTTTATTTGATTTCAGGAGTTATTACAGTTGTTTGGTATACCATATGTTGTTAGTACCATGGAAGCTGAGGCCCAGTGTGCGTTTTTAGATGTGAATCAATTAACACATGGTTCTATAACTGATGACAGTGATGTCTGGTTATTCGGAGGACAGAGAGTTTATAAAAATTTCTTTAATCAGAATCGTCACGTGGAACTTTATACTAAAGCTATGATAGATTCACATTTTGGTAAATATTATGAATCTTTCTACGCCCATTTGTTCAAGTACTCCCGATTTATTTTAGTATGCACATATTTTTACTCTTAGAACATTATGTATGCTGTAACATATTATAGGTTTTTGGATGGCTGAAAGATTAGCGCATGCGCGTTGTATTATAAGATCTGTCATTGAGTCAACTGGCGTGGTTTCAATTCCTCAGTTGTACGTGACAAGGAGTAGGGGCGCCAGTCCAACTTTATGGGTTTTTTTCCCACTGCTAAAACACCTATGCACAAGCGAATTATTGAAATAAAATAGAACCACGTGTTAGTCCCGAAATGACCTAGTTTGTGTCGAGTGGACGTTAAACCCCAGGTTACAGACACATTAAACAATTTGGCCATCCAACCTATCTAATTTCAGTATGACATCATTATGTGAGAGAGAGAGAGAGAGAGAAATGGGGTTTAACGTCCACTCGACACAAACTAGGTCATTTCGGGACTAAAATATGGTTTAATTTTATTTCAATAATTCGCTTGCGCGTAGGGGTCTTTACCAGTGGGAGGAAACCGGAGGACCCGGAGAAAACCCACGAGGTTAGACAGGCGACCCTACTCCTTGTCACGTACAACCGGGGATTCGAAACCACGGCAGTAGACTCAATGACAGGCTTTATGATACAGTGCGCACGTGCTAACCATTCAGCCATCTAACCCCACACATCATTATGTAACAGTAAGTAATTGTCATGATACTATTTACAGGTTTATCAAGGGAGGCATTAATTAATATAGCTCTACTGTGTGGTAGTGATTATACTGAAGGTATACAGGGTATCGGTCCAGTTACAGCTCTAGAAATATTAGCAGAATTTTCTGGAGAACGACTGGAGGGACTGAAAAAATTAGGGTAAGTTTTTATTTAAAGTAATGGGGAGAGGGGGCGGGAGGTATTAAGTCCAATAAAGTTCTAATTATCAAAAGACAAAACTACAGGTTAATATGTGTACAAAGTTTGAGATAACCTCTTGAGTCAAATTCAGGATGGACAAGAGTTAATTTCTGTATCTCTCTCCTAACTTCAAACCTGGAAATAATGGTTTTAGTGATAAAAGACAAAATATAAGATACTGCTGAACCTGGTATTTTGAATTTTATGCCAGATGTGTATTAATAATAAAAACACAGAAGAAAAACAAATCAGTGCTGGGTTACTATAGGATTATTCCTATTGAGTCCACGATCAGGATACATTCGGATACGTTTCGATACGATCAACACAACTGCGTCCACGCTCTGGTTAGCTCAGATATGACCAACACGATTGCCACGACTGGCCTCAATATATGATAAGACCTGATAGGATCACCACGATTTGCTCCATGATTTCAGTTGTAGCACGAATGGTGATAGTCGGAACCTAGCATGAACAAAATGACATTAACCAGAGGGATTGTGCCTAACGAAGACTGAATTTGTACCTCTCAATGTTATTTCTAGTTTGGTTAACTTATTTCAGCATGAGATAGTATACCGCCAGAAACCAAGTTAAAATATAAACATATACTCTTTAAGTTCCTCGAAGAATCAAATTATTGGAATTTTGTCTTTTTAAGTGATTGGTGGAGAAATGCCCAGAAAGAGAAAAATAAACCGCCAGAAAGCAAGTTGAAATATAAACTTCAAAAACTACACTTTAATCCAGGTAAATAATTCACACCAATTGAAGTAAATTTGCCGCTACATTTAGGTGGATCTATGGTTATAAAAAAAAAAACCATAACTGACCAGACTGATAACTGATTTGGGGCGTCAACTGGTCATATTATTTACATCACAGGGTAAATGTCAAAATAAGTTGATATGTGACCACCTGTCATTTGTATTGCCTGTTTGGATTTTTAGAATAGCATGGGTTTACGGTACCGGTAGTTAAAAGAACATCTGATATCCTAATGAAGAAAGAGGCCATTGTACCCAACGTAATGTCTAACACCACTAAACTGGTACCGGACATTTTGATCTTTGTGCTGGATATGTATTATAAATATCAGTGAAAATACTGATAAAAACAAAATCTGTATATGCCAGACAAAATGACAGGCACCGAGGCATTGTGTCTGAAAAGGCCTGAATATGTGTCTGATTATGTCTGTGATAGAGGTACCTCATTTCCAGGCTTGTGTAGAAAGCCCCAGTTCATTGTTAGACAAAAGCTGATCTATTGCAGGCTTAGGGCAATATCTCATAACCATAAACTATAACACATACTTATGGAAGAACAATTACTGATTTGTTGCTATTGCGTGTCTATATATAATTGCCCTACACATTTGTTGCTGTACTTACTTGAAAATACTCTTCCAAACATTGCCTAAATAGATCAGTAATTGTTCTTCCATAAGTATGTGTTATAATAGTTATTTGCTCTATCCTGTTACTAAATGCGTCTGTAAGATTATGTCTCATATAACCTTTTGAGACCAAATTAAGGCAATTATTTTTTGAGGTATGTAGATTGTTTACTAGAATAATGTCAAATTCTCAACTTATAAACAAAAATAAAAACAAAATGTGACATAGATCCCGGACTTTCATCCTAGTAATTGATCCTTAATGGGCTGCTTGTTCTACATTGTTCGTATATTTGGTAATGTCTCCAATTAGACATGTGGATTAAAGGAAATGAAATGAATTGGGGTTTGACTTTCTACTGCTTTACTTTGACTGGGAAGACGGATGAGGAATAAAGTGGAAAATACATTACATTATTATAAATTTATCTGTATATTATACTTTATATTTTGAAGGATTTCCCAGTGAAGTTGTTGTTGAAGCATATTTAAAACCAACAGTTGATGAATCACTGGATAAATTCTCCTGGGGTACACCAGATCTAGACCTATTAAGAGAGTATCCTTTTATAAATGTACTACATTCTCAGTTATAGTATCTTCTTTGACAACTGCGGGGAGGGCGGATGGCCGAATGTTTAGCATGTATGCACTGTATCATAAGGTTTGCCATTGAGTCAACTGGCGTGCATTCGGTTCCCCGGTTGTACGTGACAAGGAGTAGGGTTGCCTGTCCAACCTTGGGGGTTTTCTCTGTGTCCTCCGGTTTCTCCCACTGCTAAAGACCCCTACTCGCAAGCGAATTATTGAAATAATTGATTCTAATTGAGTGAGAGTGATGAAGTTTTTATTGTAATTCTATAGCCCATGTGAAAATGTATACTTTGCTTTCAATTTTCTTTCTTTAAAAGTTTATTTTATTTTTATTAGTATTGTTCATAAATTGACTTAACTCTTGTTTAAGTTTTGGGAAGAGTAAATTAGGATGGAGTAAAGAAAAAGTTGATGAACTGATCAAACCTTTATTAAAACAGCTTGCTCAAACTCATGTAAGTTTTTTTTACACAGATATTTGTTATTTTCAGATAATTATCTGAAAGTTGTGGGCTGAATCCATCTGCTTGAAGAGTTATGCCTCTTTATTTTCGGTAAAAATGTCAGACAAGAAAAAATTTGAAATAGCAACACTGGTTTTAATCCTTTAACATTTGCTACATGTAAATATTGTCAACCTCTTTTCCCTGACAAAATTAGACAAAAGTGATGTTTTTTTACATCACTGAGTTGAGTAAATTAAAAGAAAGATTATTCAAAAGTTTTGGAGCTTGTGGACTAAAAATCCTGTTTCCTTGGAATACAAGTTTTGATTGCAACAAATAACATGACTTTTTTAAGTACTTTATAAAATGAAATCTGATTTAATATCTAAACTTTCTGCACCAACAAGGCTAATGAAGACAGGCTTTTACTCTGCAGGTTTTGGTTGCTAGGTTGGCTGAATGCGTGCACATTAGATCATAAGGGGGGTGGGGGGAGAAATGTGTTTAACATACACTCAACACTAACTAGGTCATTTTGGGACTGAACATATGGTTTAATTTTGTGTATAGGGGTCTTCAGCAGTGGGAGAAAACCGAAGCACCCTGAAAAAACTCATGAGGTTTGACATGCGACCCTACTCCTTGTCACGTTCTAGCAGGGAATTAGATCATAAGGTCTGTCATTGAGTCAAGTGGCCTTGTTTCTATTCACCGCTTGTACATGACAAGGAGTAAAGTCACCTGTCCAACCTCGTGGGATTTCTCTGAGTTCTCCCACAGCTAAAGATCCCTACGTGCATACAATTTATTGAAATAAAAATGAACCATGTGTTAGTCCTGAAGTTACCTAGTTTGTGTTGTGGGGACGTTAAACCCCATTCTCTCTATGCAGGTTTGAATGATTCCTAGTACATTCTATGCTAGAAACAATGAAGATGCCAACATCCATTCTTTTCTTATGTATAATTTCAGGCACAAACAAAAATAAGTGGTTTCTTTCAACCCGAAAATTTTATCAACCCGGAAAAAATTAAAAGTCAAAGGATTAAGCGTGTATTAAACAAACTAAAAGGTGTACCTGATCCCCCCTCTCCTCCTAAAATGAACCCTTCCACTAGCATACAAGGTATTCAGAGACCTAAAGCCTCAGCAGCACCTGCAAAGTCAAAAGGAAAGAGAAAACCAGGTCAAAGAGTAAAGGGTAAAAGTCAGGCAAAGGTCAGACAAGTGAAGGATGAAGTGGATTTATCGGAAAGTAGTTCCAGTGAAGAGGAAGGTTGTGATAATGTTGTGAACAAAAACAATGTTGCAGAGAAAAAAGCCCCCGTTGTTAAGAAAGTGAAATCAACCTCGAATAAAGCCATCATCAGAAATATTGTGAACATGGCTAAACCGTTACCTCAAGTCGCAGTGAAACAAAAAGAGGATAAATTTAATAACAGTGATCAATATATATCGGACATAGCTAGCAATGGTTTCAGAAAAAAACGCAGAGGATTTACATCAAATGAAGTTCAGGAAAAATTGAAAGCTACAGAAAATAAGACTGAGGGGAAAATAGTCAAGCAAACGTCTTCGGATATGAAATTGGAAGATGTAGATTGGGACAATGAATCTTTCTAAATTCTTAAATATTCAATGGCTCATTCCATGTCAATTCACCCCAAAAATCTGGGATTTTAAACCTGACGGTCTCAGATTTTGTTGAAACTTGATATGTTGGGTTGTTTTTCTGGAAAAAGTCCAGATTTCAAAGTTCCAGCTCAATCATACTTGTGGTTTCTGAGATATTGGGATCTGCTTTTTGGGGTTTTTTTTGCATATTTTCGATGACTCCCCTTTCTTTAGGAAGCCATATATATATATATATCTCCTGAACTAATGGCTCAATTGTCGTGATGCCTACATGAAACTTTGAAATTTGGCTTTTGAAGCTGATCAAACCTAAATACCAAGTTTGATCTAAATCTGAGATGGTCGGGTTTATGTCATTGGATGGATTACCATGGAATGACCAACATGTCACATTTTATATGAGGGAATATTTGAAGAATAGATTACTAGTTAAAATTGAATCTCACATGTATAGCAAGGTTTTGGGTGTGGAGTTTTTCACCACAAGATTTTCACAAGATATTGAAACTGGAAGAAAATGACCCATTTTAAAAATCGAATTTAATGCTAGTGCTAAGTAAATGGGATGCTAGTGCTAAGTAAAGCGAATGCTAGTGCTAAGTAAAGGGGATGCTAGTGCTAAGTAAAAGGGATGCTAGTTTTAAGTAAAGGGGATGCAACCAGTATCAAACATGTACCATAACTCAGATATGCTACAAATCGACTTTACCATGTTACACAGCCCAAAATTTCTCAGCAACAGGGAAGACAACACTGCTGTTTGGGCAACTTAGCTGCTGATGGCTGTGTTTTTCATTGCCTGGCAACACATATTTTGAATATCAATAACAGCTTTGAGCCTCCAAGGAGTAATATATCTTGAGCCCAAGTTCATTTCATTTTTAATTTCGAATTAAAATCAACTTGTGCTATAATATTCTGGCCAGATACTACCTCAGGATTGTTTGTTTTGTAAATTAATTGTTTATATGATAGCAATATATACTATTTATTCATACTTGTGTAATTGATGTCGAATGAATATGAAATATCATGGCCTATTATCTTTTTATTGAAATATTGGCTTCATTTTGAAATAAATTTATTTTTGATAAAAAAGAATTGTTCAGTGTCATATGCAACCATCTTCAAGATCTGCCCATCTTAATGATATCTTCCATAGTTTAAGTTCCCTGAGCCTTGAACCCAGAACTACATGTACATTGTAACTGATTATCCATGTAACATGTAATCCTTACGTGGCGAGGGGGACAGGGCGGAAGTTTGACTAAATAAATCTCATTAAAATTTAGAGTCTGTGGAATGTCATTTTTTTTAAAGTATTTTTTTACCACAAGAGTTCGACAAGACATTTGACTTACATGTACATGTAGATATACAGGTCACAGTTGTATGGAATACAATTACTGCTATTACTGAGCAACCTTGCTAGAAATCCCTTATAAACTACAATATTGTAGAAGATGAGTCTGTAATAGGACTATCGGTCCAAAAATAATCCAGTTCTGGTTCAGCATTTCCAAAGATATGTTGAATTGAAATATCATGGATGCATGCTTTTCGCTATTTTATTGTGGGCAAACAAAAATGATAAGCCTATATTAGATCCGATCGAATTCAAGCCGGCAGGTTAACTAGCGTTGGTATTTTGTTTTCTTGATTAAATATTAACAATCCGGCAGGTTAACTAGCGTTGGCATTTTGTTTTCTTTATTAAATAATTAATCGGATTACATGTTTGCGTGGATTAAGCCGTGATACATTTGATATTTTAGCGAAAAATGCAAATGACGCATCATTACTTAAAATCTTTAATTCGAGTACATATTAGCGTGGATTTAGCCGTGGAAAATGTGACATTTTACGAATAAAACAAATGCCGCACAAAGACTTTAATTACTGAATACCACTGAATAATTCTATTGTAAGAATATATTCTACCCCTACATCCAATCCATAATAGATTTTAAATACAATTCAATTTGAATGAAACTTGTATATGGACTGAAAATCGAGTTTCCGATCCTGGGCTATTACCATCAAAAGAGGTGGGGTGGGGGCCGAATGTCTTAACGCGTGCATGTTGGATCATAAGATCTGTCATTGAGTCAAGTGGCATGGTTTCGATTTCCCGCTTGTACGTGACAAGATGCAGGATAGCCTTCCGACGTCGTGGGGTTTCTCCGGGTCCTCTGCCCCCGAACCCCACAGCTAAAGATCCCTACGCGCAAGTGAATTATTGAAATAAAATTGAACCATATGTTATCCCCGAAATGAGCTAGTTTGTGCCGAGTGTATCCACCCCTCTCTCTCTCTCTCTCTCTCTCTCTCGAATAGATATGCAAAGACATGATAACATTTGCGGACTCTCGGACGACTTACTAAGAAGAAGTATTGTGACATTGCAAGGTATACATTTTACAGCATGCGCGGAACCTTTTGTGATAGAAGCGAGCAACTGAAATTAAATGAGGTTTGATTACTACTGTTCTTTAATCAGCCGGGCTAATGACGACGGGCATACCCCATGCAGTGTGTTATGCGGGGAATTTTGTCCAGCCTACTGTGATAAGGGACATTCTGCCACGACAGCGGACGTTTCTGCCTACTCTTCGTCGAATCCCAACTGTCAAGGGTTCTTTTATGTGCACGCCAACGTGTACACGGGACCTCATGCTTCCTGGTCAGAACCTCATTACACACTGAATGGCGTGTGACCATCTTCATTAGCCCGGTTAGAATTTAAACCCCATTCCATTTCAGTTTATTCGTTTGTGCAAATATGCTGCCAAGAAATAACCCACAGCCCGTCCCCTTAATCAATCAATCAATCAATCAATTAATCAATACTGAATTTGTATAGCGCAAACAATACCTCGATAAAGTTCCTAATGTGGATTCTTTTAGTGTTTATTTTCGTCAAATAGATGTGTCTTCAAACGTGAATTCACTCGTTCAACTAATCTCTTTAAACATGAACATAATCGAGTACAATAAGAGGACGGGAATCACACGACAAATTCTATACTGTTAAAGGACAATATTGGTGTCAATCATTATCACATATGTGATAGAACACGTTCCAAATATAAGTTTAACACAGATATCATTTCTACGATAGATGCATAATAAAGGTTTCAACAATCGGAAGTGACAAAGGCAAAGGGAAAACACGAGTTATCCCTCTATATAACTAACTGACTAAAGTGACGCGTGATAGCAGATACACGGGCGAATTTCTGCTCACTAATAATTCCTTCGAAGACCAAAAGTTGTTATATGAGACTGTAAGAGGATATCTGACAATTCAAAAAAGTAATTGAATGTCATTAGATAAGAGAACACGAGAAAAATAGAAATAGTCCGTACATTCCCTTGTTTTTATTAATTCTATACCTTATAAAAACATGGTAATGCACGGA